CTGATTTATAACTGCCTTGTTTTGTTTGATTTTCGGTTTTACACTGCACATTTAGGCTTTAGAAGGAGTTAATACATTCTCTGCACTATATTAGATTTTTGCAGTTCACAGTATGAAAATATTTAAGTATTTTGTCACAGGAATGCAATGTCGAATCGGACTTAATAGCGCTTTAATCGAATTGTCGCTATGCATTAATCGAAATGTCACTCATATATTGACAATAGTGGCTGTATGTCATTGAAATTCGTCAATGAGAATGCATGCCTGACTACATTTGTAGCGAAGATTATGTCCAATGAAGACAGATGTATGTTAATTAAAGAAGAGTACATGCATATATACAAATATGCATGTTCATAAAAATAACTTTTTTACTAAAATAAAAAAGTTAAATTTTGTAAAGAAATATTTTTTCTACCAATTCTTTTTGTAACATATACGAGTGCTCGCTTAGTCTGAAAAATTTTAAATATCGACTAATATATTTTCACTTCTGCTGCTAACCCAAAACCAGTCAAAAGTTCCTGTCACTTACAGTTATACACTCACGCAAACCGTTGCATCATTTCCTTAAACTCTTGGAAATCCCCACTATAATACACACACATACATACATACATATGTGCGTAGCACAAACTTGTTGATGCACTCTTTTTTACCACCGGCTATCATTTTAAGCCGGTTTCAACGCGCGCTTCTTAAAAAACACACACACTTTTCCTCTCGGTCACTAAAGGGGATGCCCCAGTCGTGGCATCTAGTTATGGTTTTAAACTGTTAAAAGGTAAAATAACAACTTATTCTTACACCTTTTTTTGTAGAATATTCGTTGCGCCAGCACGCGATTAATTCGTGCAGAAATCTGGAAATGAATCATGCCACCAATCGTGTGTCTGCTGCAATTTCAAGGTTTTTATTTTCAACGCTATCAATGTAATGAAAACCGGTTCGGCGCACAATTGTAATTATTTGGAATTTTCGCAGACAAAGTCAATGGCAAACTAGTTATTTAGACTGTCACATACTTGCATTCTTTTGCTGGGGGTTAATTTGATGCAGACCTTGTGCAAAAGTGTAGTTAATTGTGCAGTTTGGAAATTAATTATAGACAAAAACTTTTCTTTTTTACTTAGCAATCGTTGCATTGCAAAAAAATATAACAAAAATATAGTAAGCTGATAAAAAAGACACTTTGAAAATTAATTATTTTTACAATCCTTTCATTTAAATAATTTTATTCTATCAAAATGACTCACAACAGCCTCTCACTTCAATTGCCAACATTCACCTGTTTGTATTTGCTTTATTTTCTGTTAATTGTATGTAATTTTTTTCTTTTCATAAATGTTTGTGTTCAACACCTATCACAAGCCGACTCATTTATTTGCCTAGTCATCACATCGTGTGTGAAAGTATAGCTACACTTCGCAACCGCATAAGATTCTTAACTACATACAGAATTAACACACTAAAATCGCTAATTATATTCATGCATTTAATTTTTCTTTCTACTTTGTTTCATTTATGCACATTAATGCCGCAAAAATTGTTCTGAAATTGTTCTTACAACGGATAGCATTAACCACAAAAAATCGATAACACCAATCGATATGCAAATGGTGAAATTGACATGTGTAAATAAACTGAGACACTCATTCGCATTCATGCAAGGAAATAAGGATGTTGGTTTATTTTGAATGGATTTTTTTTGTTATTGAAACATTTCCTGTGAATTTGTAGTTTAAAGACATATTTCTATATATATGTATTTATATATGTAAATCAGTCAACCACATAGAGTGTATGGAAAATTTTATTTAAATGCGAACTCAATTAATTAAACCGCAGAATGGCAGTCAAAATTAAATTGTGATACATATGTATGTACTCATAATTATTGCTTTTATTTCATTTCTTGACTTTTTTAATGTATTTACGATCACATCAAAATGGTTCTACTGCCGCTTTTCTTATTTTGTTTTTTTTTTTAATGTTTTTTATTTTTTTTTACATTGAGCTGTTCGTTGCTGTCAAATTGCGATTGATGTATCTGTTAATGCATGAAATTATAACAATTTGCAAATGCTTTTTTATTGACTCAGTGCTTTATTAAGTTATTGTATGTACACTCGTGTGCATATAAATCTATTAAATAAAAGGCGAACGCGCTTAAAAAAGGTTCACTTTTGTTCATTTACTTATGTATTATTTTTTACTTACTTTTTTTTTGCCATAAAAATTCTTTTGCGATTATCTGCAGGTGATTTTGGTTTTTTCGTTTTTTTTTTGGGTTCTGTAGTTTCCTATTAAATCTAAACTTGCTGCTTTGTATTTTTGTATGTGCGCTGGACCTTCAAATTGGCTTTTGAACTCAAACAATGTTTTACATTTGAATTCCATTAGCCGGCATATCCGCTTAAAAAAACTAACTATTTATATAGACATATGAAAAAGACAAAACATAACTAGATGCCCATACATACATACATTTGTACATATGTATGTATATTTAAAATGGAAAAAACAAAACAAACAATGCTTGTCTAAAACTTCTCACATGTGCCTGTTAAGGCATTGCTTTAATAATGTCATACTTACATAAATTCTAACAAGTTTGGCGAATTCTCTTGTAAGCACATGTAACTAATTTGACTATTAATTAACAGACACGATTAGCTAAAGGGTTGCCATCATAGTGAAAATATTTTGTTTATTTTTATAAAAGAATGCGGCATTTTGTTTAAGAAAAATTTGTATATATTGGCACTTATACATACATACACCACTTTTGCATCAAGTATTCTGCTTGAGAAATATTTATATTTGATCATGAAAAAGTAAATTCCACCAAAGGCAGACGTCAGCAAGTTGTCGTCTGAAAAACACTAATTTAGCTGGCATTTATTTTGGATGTATATGCCATATATATGTTCATACATATGTAGGTGTGTTAAGGTGAATTTTTTCTCAAAAAAATTATTACCATCTCTTATGGTAGAAACTTAATTTGAGTTTTTCTGCTTAAACATCCAAAATACAAGGCAAGAAAATTGATGCGTTTCCAACTACACACGCAGGTGCAGTTGTCAAACCGATATTGCCAACTATCTGACTGAAATATCATACTTTATTTCATTCATCCTTCGAATACGCCGAAAGCAAATCCAGTGTACTTTTTAATCTAAGTAATTTTGAAGAGCAAATTGAATACTAGAATTTTGGCCAATTGGAGAAATCCGTTATTTGGGAATAGCTTAAAAAATGGGGATATCCCATTCGTGAAGCTACAACTCAACTTTGAGGGCGATACAGGTCGAGACATCGAATTAGAACGAAGAAATTCTGCAATTTTCACTATTTTAACAACTTTTGTATTTTGACTCAATATAAATACATATGTAAAAATAATTTCATTCAATATAATATGGCCACGTAACACTTCAATCGTCGAACGCCCGAATAATGAAATAAATAATTTGATTAACGAATGTTTTATTAGAGTTTTTCATTAAAAGAATTATAAAAATATTCAAGGAACTCCAATTTTTGTTTTTAAGAACAAAAAATAAATAAATACTTTAAACTATGTATCATGCATTTAGTGCATCATGTAGATGTATGTATATATGTAGGTATAACTGAATAGTTAAGAATAATTATCTCAGTATCACATGAATAAACACTTATTTGCTTTCGATTGCCATAAATGGTGAAGTTTACATCCTATCATTTATACGCAAAAAAACTGACAATTTCCTTTTTGCCTTTCAAATACCAGTCACGCTTTTTAACAAACTTTTATACAAACAGCCATAGATAGAATCGAAAGAAAAATATCAGCACAAAAAAAGTCAACAATTAAAATATTACGACAAGTCGAAAATGAGAGCAAATATTAGAAATATTTACTAAAAACACACTGACAAACAAATACAAAAATGAAATAAATAAATACATACATATGTACATATAACAGATGACAAGCACTCGATGCAAAACCACAATCATGCCGATATCTATAAATCATTGTCGTGTGTATAAACAAATATAGACCGTGTAGGAAAAAAATGTATAATTGAAAAGTATTTGCAGCTAAGATTTGACTAATTTTAACTAACAATTTGAGTTTCAAGCTTGAAAGTTGGTACTTTAAAGAAAAACAAACAATAGATTAACTGATTTTAGGCGAAGGAGTATTCTTTTATAGAAATTGTGGAAAATCTCTACGGAGTATGGTCAAATTGATTTCTATAAGTATGTAGCTACATATGTAGTAAATTTAATTCCTGAACTTTTATATTGCCATTCAAACGCATGGCGGCATTTGTATTTCATTTATCGTGACTATTTGTTTTTTGTTTAATAATAAATAATAATAAATTGTTATTTCGGAATTGTAAAACAATTGATATGTTAAAGTGTGGACAAGTCATAGCGTCTGGTTTCATGTGCATGCTTTGCACTATTTATTGACACTGAATATTAATTCGCCGAGGAAACATGACTTAGTGTATGGCGTGGAAAGGGTAAATAAATTTTTTGAAATAAAACAATAATAATTCTCAATACAAGCAATAATTGAGATTTTTAGATTACATAAAAATAGTATTGATGTAAAGCTTTGATGAATGCGTAATCAGACGAGTATGAAGTGTTAATCCTGACGAAATCAAGCTAAATTATAGGTTCATGTATATTACACCACCAAAATTCTTTTATTTTTTTTTTAAACTGGTTGATTTCATTAAAATTTTCTTAAAAACATTTTCCCCAAACTAAACTAAGCTACAGAGTTATAAATATTTCACTGCTAGTATTTTTTAATTATTCCACTTTTGAATTATTGATAACTATTCCGCTTTTGAATTTTTCTTAGCCTATATATATGTATATATATATGTAAATTTAACTTTAATTTTCTACATAAATTAGTTATAACTATTTTATGAATATTTTGCTTATTTCCATATTCTTTCAGCACACATTTAAGTCACAAAATGCTTCCAATAGTTAAGAAAGTTAGCGGCTTTTACAACGCTTATGTTCTTGGCGTTCTGACAGTTGGCTATATACTCGGCGAATTGGGACATTACCTCATCGGTGTAACCTCAAAGCAGACTGCCATCGAGTTGGATTATGGTGATAAGGCTTGCCAACAAAATAATACCAGATTCACACGACACGAATTGCCAAAGCAATGTTCGCTGGTAAAAGAAGAAGATAGGTAGGCATATTGTAATTTAAATAAATATTTCACTTTTAGATTTGAAAAATTTCTTTATTTGTACTTACAGTTGTCTTGCTTTGACATATAATGAAACTGCATACTGTGAGTGGAATTACAATGGTCTGGGTATTGATTATCAAATACTTGCTGGTCCCACCTTCATATTGGTTTTCACAATTGCTGGTGTTTTTATGGGTTTCGCTGCAGATAAATATAATCGCGTTAAAATGTTAACAGTTTGTACATTGATTTTTGCAGTAGCCATTATATTACAAGGTACCGTAGAAGCGTACTGGCAGCTGTTGCTGTTGCGTATGGTCATGGCGTTGGGGTAAGCGCTTTTCTCTTAATAATAAGAAATAACAACAGATTTATTAATTTCTCTACTTCCCCAACAGTGAATCCGGTTGCAACCCACTGGCTACAGGCATTATGTCCGACATTTTTCCCGAAAATAAGCGCGCCCTTGTTATGGCCATTTTCAACTGGGGCATCTATGGTGGTTATGGCATTGCTTTTCCCGTGGGTCGTTATATTACCAAATCGAATTTCTTCAACCTTGGCTGGCGTATGTGCTATTTGGGCACTGGTGTTTTGGCTGTATTGCTGGCCGCACTCACAGGCACCACACTCAAGGAACCAGAACGTAAAGCGATTGGCGAGGGCGATCGTACCAAAGATGGCAAAAAGATTGGTTTGTGGAAAGTCTTGGCCAATCCTGCTATGATCATGTTGATGATTGCTGCTTCCATTCGTCACTCTGGCGGCATGACTTTCGCTTATAATGCCGATTTATACTACAACACTTATTTCCCAGATGTTGATCTTGGCTGGTGGTTGTTCGCTGTGACCATTGGTATTGGTAGTGTTGGTGTAGTTGTTGGTGGTGTTGTTTCTGATAAAATTGTCGCTAAGATGGGCATAAGATCACGCGCATTGGTACTTGCTGTGAGTCAACTGATTGCCACTTTGCCTGCTTTTGGCTCCGTATACTATGATCCACTATGGGCTATGATTACCTTGGGTTGTAGTTATTTCTTCGCTGAGATGTGGTTCGGCATTGTGTTTGCGATCGTTGTGGAAATTGTACCGTTGCAAGTGCGCTCTTCAACAATTGGCGTATTCCTATTTGTGATGAACAACGTTGGAGGAAATTTGCCAATTCTCTTGGATCCTGTAGCAAAAATGATTGGCTTCCGTGAGGCGTTTATGATCTTTTATGCTGGTTTCTATGGCATAAGTAAGTTTGAGTTGTTGAAAAATTCTATATATGTATGTATATACATATGTGCATGCTTTATTTATTGTGTATATTCTTAAATTCTTAGGCTCCGTGCTCTTCCTTATCACCTGCTTCTTACTGGAAGGCAAACCAAAGGATAACGATTCTACAACAGCGGTGGGCGAAGAAAAGATCGATGGCCTGGAGGCACACACACGTCAAATGCGTGGTCACGACAATTCCGTTTTCTCCGTAGACGAAGTGCTGCCGCACAACGGACGGCCAGCGGTAATTCCACAACATTTGCAGTTGTCGAGTAACGGTCAAGACAAATATACGCCCGTTACACGTGAGAGCAGCAGACTGTAAAGAACGTTTTAAGCCGAACTGCACTGGAAACTATTTGGACAATACATTTACGAATTTTTCTAAATCTTTATGTACCTCATTCGTAGTGTGTATTTGTTTTGTTTTAAGTCTAAAAGGCTTGGTTTATGAGTATACTTCTATAATGTTTTTAAATTTGAGAATCGTGAAGAAAGAAACAAACAATTGTTTAAGATTGTTGTTAAATAGTTTAGTTTGTTAAGTCGTTTGACACTGCTTTTTTTGTTTGTTTAATGTAAAAGATTCAACGTTTTATTAAAATTATCATTTAACAGTTACTCGTGTTAGGGCTTACGAGGTCTCTTGAGTATTTGTCAAATTTTATACTTAATAAAGTTATTAATTAGATTAGTTAATAGACGTTAATGTTATTGCTTTTTATAGTACTTTACATAGATATGTATGTACTAATTATATACAAAGATGTGAATTTTTACACCAATGAAATTAATAGTTAAATTAATTACAAAAAGTATTTTGTACATATCAAATAAAATTTGTACTTAAAGTAGTTTTATAAGCAATTTAACCAACAAAAATTTTGTGTTTTCTTTGATCAGACATACCTACATAAGTATTTTTCTTGATCCCTTCTGCGTAGCCTTCTTCTTCGAATTATTTTCTTTAAATACCTCTTATGTGGTTACAACCGCTTTAACAATTGCGTAACAGTATTTTCTTCTATTCTCTCTTTGGCATCAATTGGAAGCACTGAGGAACGCTAGACTCTTTTCCCCCTGAACTTTCCAGTAGAGTGGAGATATTTCCCTTCCTCGGTGAATTATGCCGATGGTATTGTCGTAACTAGTGCAAAAAGGTCCACTTTCTTTCGTAAAGCCTTCCTCTCTCGAAAACTTGTAATATCGACTCATCGCATAGGTTTTGGTAGTGCCAGTCTGTTTTCACCCATCTGCAACATATTAGCGCTTCTTTCGATTCTTATGCTGGTATCTGGTACTATAGATAACCATATTTCGGCCCACGAAGAGGAAGATCATTTTTCTTCAAAAATACTGAGTTTACTAAGCCAAAATACCTTCGCTTGACCTGTCGTTAAGATCACTAAGCACGATTTTGCTTTTGTGCCGATTTCTCAATATACATATAGTAAGTACTATATGTCTGTATATATGTACATACATATATGTATGTTTTAGATAATTTCTTTTAAAAGAAATTTAGCCTTTCAGTAAAACAAAAAATAAAACAATTTGATAGCGGAGTAAATTCGGCTAACATTTGGGGCAAGACGATTTAAATTCACAGCACAGGGTGCTTCAAATTATTTCGAAAAAATAATTAATAAATCAAAAACTTATCATGAAGTAATTTTTAGCATACATAATTACATATACGTGTAGATATTGTATATAATATATTATATTTGCTATTAGTGAACAAGACTGGTTTAGGATTTATCAAAGAGCGGATAACCGCAATGCACGTAAATGCGAAAAAAGCTATATGTACAATCTCTTTGATACGGAGTAATGCGATAAAAAATATTAGGTGCAGTAAAAAGAAATACATTATTTTTGCATGACATTGAAGGCTTTACTTTTCGTATCCAGACTTATTAAAATGGTTATGAACTGTTTTTTGTGCAGCAGCCTTTAATTCTTGGGCAATCGATACAGTGCTTACAATGTCCATGATCTTATCGACTTTTTCGGCAATTGGACTTCTACTCAGTGAAGCATCTTTTACATTAAAATTATCGGTATGTAATCAAAATTGTGCATGATTGACCGTACCAGTATCAGGACCATAAACGCTATTCATACTTTCAGTCGCCTGGCTTGCGTTTTCGACCTCATTTTATAAAATATAGCGTATTTTTCGCTTTGCTAGTGCCCATCTTTGACGCACGCGCAAACAAAAATGAATCAACTAATCACAAAACTGTCAGAAAAGCTTTTTTAATACGAAATGCCATCTTTCCAACTTCATCTAGCAGAACCCGATCGAACTTATACAACGCGAAATACAGATAAATAAGGCCATCTATTGGAATAATGGATTTATTCTTACTACACCTAATATTAACATCCATATGTGTGTATTTACATGCATTTGTCAGCTTCAGATAAAAAAAGTTCCACTTAGGAATTTTATTCTAAACAAACTCAAAAATGTTAATGCCTTTCATTTGTTCATAATATTATCCATTGCTCGCTTATTTTATAATACTTATTTAATTATCAAAACCAGCGAAGGGAAAAATTTTAAATTTGAGTCATGCCTTTCATATTTTTTTTTTGCTTATTTCCAAGCCCCTGTGCTGATTTTTATTCACATGAATCAGCATCTTTGTTTATGGAGGACAGAAACCATGAACAGCAAAGTTTTGTTCTTAAAGTGAAAAGATTTCTGTTGATATCTTTTAGCTTTGCTTTAAGCTTTTTATAAATATGTTTAATTATACATACTACAATTTTGTAATATTAGAAATAAAATTTACAAAGAAATCGCTATATTGAAAAATAAAAGTACATACATACACACATATGTATGTAGATATAATCACAAGAATGGTTTAAGCGAGAATCAACTGCTGTACGTACTCATTTTCTTTGAGGTGACCTTGAATTAAGTATGACTTTATTTTCACAAAATATTTATAGTTCTTAAATCTAAGTAATTAAATGGTTATTCAAATGCTCCGAGTATATTTCTGACATGAAATAAAAAGCTCCTCATTAAAATCCAACGGCCGTTCGGAGGCGGCTTAGGATAAACTGTAGGTCCCTCATTTTGTTAGAAAAACACAAAAACCACAAATTGAAGAAGGATCTCGGCCGGGACGCTTCAGCGATTACCAAGTGTCAATTATGTGTATGTTATAAATACATATGTGTACATTGTGTACATATTTTTCTTCCGGCTATCATAAAATGTATGAACAATATGTATTTGTGTATGTACATACATACATTTGTGCATACCTTTTATTGTATTTATCTAATTAACTTTCTTACTCTCTACATCATTCCTTCATCATTCTCGATTTTTCTCTACCTCTAACTATTTTTTTTATCAGCATACGTACATACATATTTATATGTATACATACCTACACATCATCCACACACGTTCCACTCAAATTTTCTTTTACCCATATTTGTTTATTATCTTTCATTTTCTGTTTCGCCTCTGTGTGGTGCGGTTTGATATTTTTGGCGTGATTAGTGTTCGGTGTGTGAAAGTGTACATTCAAATAAAATTATTTTAAGCGTATTATAAAAACGTTTTGAGTTCTTTATATGAGTGAAACTCATACATATTTATATTAATAATTGAATATTTTCGTATTTAAGAATGCATTGTCTGAATGACTCGGCTTTATTTCGCCCATTCGTAGTAGTTAAAGTTGCAGCTGCCATTTTGTAATAATTCGTAAGTATGCGTGGTGTGAGAGTTGCAAAACGATTATTTATGTAGATGAGTGTTGCCAGAACTTTTGATTGAATTAGATTAAGTACTTAAAAGATTAATTGAGAATTATACAAATGTGTGTTTAGAGCATATGTATATACAAATATTGTGATTTTTTCTAGGGATATACACATATCTTTAAAAGTGTTAGTATCGTTCCCAACGAGAAAAGTGAAAAGTGATGATCGATCAGAGTAATTTTAATAAGGAAATTTTTTCTTCAGGTTTCAACGATTTCGGTGTCAAGAATAGTTTGAAAGGTTAATTAACTGACCTTACACGAGCAATTCTTGTTGCCGAAACTCATACATATATTTATAGGCATCTACGGAGATGGCAATGTACCGACTTTTAGGGTGTTCGACGAACTGAACTTTTTACTGAGCCGCGTTCGTTGAGGCAAAATCCCAGTAAAACTTGCACCGAGAGACGGGAAATTTGACATTTCATTACAAGCTAATTCTTACTGACATTTCTCACCGATAGAGCTTTTGTTTGTGTTTTCAGTAAAATAAAGAAAGGAAAAATTAAAGAATAAAGAAATACTAAAAAAATTGCATTTGTGAACATGGATAGCAACATCAAAGCGAAAATTGCCAATAAACGACAAAGACATATCCTCGTGTAAATTCAGTTTTTCCTTAAATGTTTCAAAGCTCCGAAATTAATTTCGATGACATAAAATTTGGCTTGAACTTATTAAAAAAAAGTGGAAAATAAAAGTTGTTTAAGTCATCTCAAGTCACTATAATAAATATCGTGTAATGAGTTTTCTATCACGATTTAAAATAAAATCATAATATTAATATGTTTTGAGCATAATTAGTGAGCTGTACGATTTATATGATGAAATTTACATAGTTCAGCGCATGAAGAAACATCGACTACGCTGGCTAGGTCATGTCGTCCGAATGGATCTAAGCAATCCAGCTTGGGAAGTATTCGATGTAGTACCCGCTGGCGGAAACAGAGGAAGAGGAAAAACTCCACGCCGCTAGACGGATAAGGTAGTCTAATCCGCTAGACGGATCAGTTGGAGAGCTAGCTGGTTTCTCTTGGTATTTTCAACTGGCGTCAAACCGTGAAAAAAGGCATAAATGGATCGCTTTTATTGATTCGGCTATAATTGCGTAAGCGGTGTTAACGAAAATAAAGAAGACGAAATTAGTGGAGAAAAGGAAAAAATGGTAGCAGCTTTATAGCTATTTCGGAGAACTCGGAGCTACAAGCTCTCATGTTTTCTAGAAATTATTTATCATTGTAGTCGCGTGAACAAAAAATTCTTATTGACTGTGTGCAAAGAAAATTTAGGTATAGCTAAGGGCTTTTTTTGTGATTTTCAAGAATCAATAAAACCTATATAATTTAATGTTATGATCCAAAATTTGGGTGTTTTGTGGAGATAAGGTTGCTATTATGTTTTAGAAATTACTGTACTGTCTGTATGTCAGCAATAACATGCCGAATATTCCCCCCAAGACGTCAAACGCCTCGGGCTTATCTACATAGGCAAGTGAGTCCACATAAACCCAATAAAAATAGTTAGAGGCCGGCTCTGACGGGAGTTATTGCGTTCACCAAAAGTTTTTTTTAAATAAATTTATTGTTTTGTTGTCTATCTAGCATATACCACCGTCTTGTTTGTACCAAAGATCGTTCTCATAAACTCCATCCAGTTCAGGCACGATTAAGTCATTCATCATAGATCTTATGCGTTCGCCGTTGAATGTAACATAATGCCCGAATTTTGATCAAATAGTCTATCCTTAGAGCACAACAACCTGACAATTTAAGGCTTCAACGGCGTCGCTGTAATGCCTTGTGGATTATCATCACTCTAAATGTGACCATTTTTTTATGGATTTATTTTGATTGACATTATTTTGATTCTAGACAAGCACAAAACTACTCCATATGATAGTGACAAATCTAGATTCATAATATTTAATTATTTTCTTTCTCACAATACATTCGATTGGACCTAGTCCAGCCGGTGAGGTCCCCCATTTTTTAGATGGGGCAGATCACTTTACGTTCCAATCTTTGGGCATGCTTTCGGCCGAAAACATTCTGCAAAGAAGTCGATGTATGTACCTTATCAGTTCTTCGCCGCCTTGCTTGAATAACTCTGCGCGAATCCCATCGGCTCCATCCGCTTTGTACTTTCGGCGGGCAGTCGCTATTCGAGCCTTGCCATAGTCGGGTAACGGAATGCCTTCTCCATCATCATAGATTTCGGGTTTTGAAAGTCTTCTATTCAGAGTTTTAATGCCCAAAACCCGACAGCGGAATTCATACGAAAGTGAAGGTTCGGCTATACAAATTTTCTGAACTCGTTCTATGCGGCTTCTACATATAAGAAAAAATGTTACATTATCCAAATAAAAAGCCATAGTCGCGACTTGTTCTTACTAGAGAAACATAAAGAACCCTCAAGGTGTACGGATCTGAAAATGAACAATAGAACTGAAATAAACCTACTTATTATTGACGCTAACGTGGGAAACATTATATATACATACAGTCAGCGTCAAAAGAAAGTGTACACCCTTTTCTCATACAATTATGTATATATTATATATATTATTTCGACAATGGGTAGGAAAACATTACCTGATAGAGATAAATTTTAAGTAGGAAGGAAAACCTTTACGTGAAATTGCTTCAATAATTGGAAGAAGTCATAATGCAGTAAAAAAAATCATTGATAAGCAAAAAATGTTTGGTGAAATAGAAGATCGACTACGTTCGGGTAGACCAAAACGGATTAATAATACTAAAATACGGTCAGTTGTGAGAGCTGCGAAGATAGATCCAATTGTGTGTGTCGTCAAATTATCGGAAGAAATGTTCAGAATATCCGGACTGAATTGAATGTTAGTGCTAGCACTATCAGACAAGCATTGCATTCTAATGGCCTGTATGGGCAGGTACCGATGAAAAAACCTCTTATCTCGACGCCGAAGCAAAAGCGGCGATTGGAATTTGCGGAAAAATATAAAATTAAGGGCAAATCGTTTTGGAATAAAGTCATTTTTTCTGACGAAAGCAGTATTTCGCCGGAAGTAGTGTCCAACTTAGTGGAATCAATGCCAAGTAGGTTGGAAGCAGTTATCAGTTCAAAGGGAAGACAGACGAAGTATTAGCTTATGAATTTCTTAATTATTCCCAAAATGGTCACTTTTTTGACGCATAAAATATTGAGTATATTTGGTTTTGTATGTGTTGTTTTTGTTCTTATAGAATTATCTTTGGATTGTTGCTAATTTCTTGTAAGAACAATATTTCAACATTTATAAATAATAAATGATTCAAAAAATTCTAATTTTTTTACACCGAAATAAAGAGTGAAATGTATGATGAAAAAGGGTACACTTTCTTTTAGCGTTGACTGTACTTATAACGCTTTGCAATAATCCTCCATCATTTAGTGTACGTAAAATGAAACAATCGGCCTATTTGATATTTTCTTAAGAAACTCTCACTATTTTCGAAAGTTACTATAGTAACTTAGACACTAGAATGTGTTTCCAAATCGTCTGATAACTCTAAGGATTTCTAATATGAATATACTTACAAATATGTGTATACAAACATACCGTATATTTATACATGCACTACTTCCCGAACTCATTTCTATATACATACGAGTCACAAAGTCAAAAGAATACCATCCACTTACCCTCCATTTCCTACTTATTTACAATACTTTATTTTCTTTCTTTTCATACTACGTTCTACCGCCGCTTTGTCTAGTTGGTTTTCTTTCACAGTTATGTGTAGCGAATAGTGAGTACGAGTGTGAAAGTTTATAAAGCGAAAAATATTATTCATAGCAAACTAATTTCTTTAATTTTGAATGTTTGAAGGTAGGGAAAAAAAGAACCTTCGAAGTGTATTGTGTGTTCTATATAAAATTGTATTTAATTTGTGTGACCAATGGAAGATGCGTTGGAAAAAAGTGTTGCCATCTATTTATAGTCAGCGCACTTAAAGGAACACCCTACCATATACACGCATAAATGAAATATTGAAATACCACTGCTTTGACATCCGGAGTGCTAAAAATAATATCAGCCATTTGCGAAATAGACGAAGATTGTTAGTGGCTGTCAAGTGGTCAAGCAGAAGTTTCGTATATTAATTGACAGAAAATGACGAGTGTTGGAGAGGGTGCAAGTAAAGAAATTCCATTAGATTAAGGTACTCATTGGGAAACTTTAGAGATTAACTGGACTTTTAAGCTATATAAAATTCAAGTTGTTTTGACAGATTCAAATTGTTTTCGTTGTATTATAAAAGTATAAATATTTGTAGCCAAAAGAGTGATGGAAATCAATAATAGAGAAAGTGTATACTTTGGTAGAGACGTCAATGAAAAACCAACGACTAAGAGATACTAAAAACAAACTTACTCAACAATATCCAAGTAAAAAGGCCAGAAAAATTTTAGGAAAAGAAACTGAACGTCAGTTTTCTGTAAGTACGATAACTCGGAAGCAGTAAGAATCAAAGGAATGCAATATGCACGAGACTCTAAAGTTTATGTGAATAACTTCTTAGATTTTGTGTGCATTTATATGTTAAAGAAGAGTGTATACAATTTATAATATGCTGTTTAAAAATATATATTTTGCTTCCCACGAAGTATGCAAAGTTATAGCGAAAGATTGAACACGAAGTGAATTGAACAAATGCTAGATTTTGGTTAAAAAAGTACGATAGCATCATACGACTTGCAACGATATGTATAAACGAGCCATTTAACAAATCAACTGGATTACTAATGTGCTAACAAAGCTAGTTTCGGCATTTCCGTAATATTTTCAGCGCACGAGAAAAACACGGAACAAGTTATTTATGGCAAATTGTGATACAGCGTATATATTTTTGTTGCCCAATATTATTATTGTCATCAAAACATAGGCAAACGTATGTGTTTCTGTGTGTATCCCAGACGTTATTGTATCGTTTCTTCCTATTTTATTGCTTTATTTTTGCCAAAAGTACGAAGACGAAACAATTTCAAGTAAATCTTTGTTGTTGCAAGCTTCGTTTAGAATACACAAATAATCTGCATATCGGCTGTATAGTATTTTTCTTGGACTTTTTCTATTCAACGAATACCACGACAACACTGCCACTAATAATTTTTTATACGCTGGACATAAATTGTGTTGAGCCACCCAGGTTTACATAAGCATTCTGAGTTAATACGAAAGTGTCTCCATTTTCTTGCTATTTCGCTGCACTTTCTGCTGGCGTAAATATTTTAAGCGCATTGGCTTTGTCTTCAATAAAAAAAAAGCGTTAACATTCCAGTTTTCATCATATTTGTATGTATATACATCTCTATGTATGTAGGTGTATGCAATCAGTTAGCCTTTAACAATATTTTGCTTTGACTTTTACTTCAGCAAGCGCCAAATGTCCATGTTCCACAGCTGCCAACCAACGACTGGCTGGTGTGTGCTTTTTGAAAACGCTATTTAGTACTGCGTTGTTCTTTCATATACTTATACAAAGTGTATGCAGGTATGGGTGTGAATATACATATGTACATATGTCAATATTCATGAGAACATATGTATGTACACTACGTTATTTGTGGCTCGTTCCACAAATTTTGCCTTTACTACTTTTTGCCTTCGCTTCTTCATTTTGATGTTCGTTTCGGTTTTTGCAGCATTCGCGTGTCAGGAAGGTATATGTACGTACATATAGTATTAGCTGTGCAGCGAACAGTTTCTTATTACATTATTAGATTTCCAGTTGAGTTTTTTGCAAGCTGATAAACTGACCATATAAAAATGTACCTACAAATTTGCTAATTATTATGTTTTAATAGTATAAAATATAAAGAATATATTTACTAAAATTTTAGGTTGTGAAAGTGTCGTATTTAAGAACGTACATATGTAAAAAAAATGCAAAAGTATAGACACCCGTGTGAAATAGCGCTGAAAAAATTGATATTCAATGATTTTCGCTGAGTGAAGGAATGAGGTAGCGAAAAATATGTATAATATAGTACATACATACGATATATATGTATACTTTCCCGTGCACAACACAATTGTTTGAAATTTAAAGGCTTCAATTAATTAATTTCTCTAGTAGTAATAGTTATACAGTAGATAATTCTCAACTAAGGAACGTTTCCCTTTTTCGACATGCGAAAAGGTAGTAGATTCTCCGACAGATTTCTTGTTACGCAACCGATGTACGTTTCTTTTATGTATACTATATATTATATGTATGTAAACATAAGCCTACTCGTTTGTAGCACACATTCTTAAAACATGCACACAGACACTAATTTTTATGTATACATATATATGCCGAAGTCTCTAATACTTTCGTGTCGTGTTCGCTGTGTTCCGATTGAAAGCCGAAGACTCGCTTAAAGGCACGAATATGCCATACGCTCCAATTTACCGCAAACGTACGCCAGTAGAAACATATATATGTACATACACACATACATAGAATAAGTATAATATTAAAAACATTTGCTTCTTGGCATACTAACATTTCATTTTGAGTGTTTCAACGCATACGTGATTATCGGAGGGTTGAAATGTAGCTACAGATATCGGTACATATAGTAGAGTATACATAGCATGCAAGTAAAAAGTGAGAAAATGATCTTTGAAGTTTCCTTTAGTTAGTGTAAAGAACCTGTTTTAAACGCAAGAAGCGGTGACGAACCTTGTAAAAATGTTTCCGTAAAAGACAAGAAAATGAACGATCCTAAAGTATAATGGCACAGTTAAGGGAAATAATAACAAGTAAGAGTGTTGAGTGAATGCTATTACTTTATATACTTACCTCATGTATACATGTACATTCCTACACAGGTACAAGTCTTTTCTCAATGCTTTTGTACAAATCAATGCGATTTTTCAAAGGGCAGAATGCATTACATACATGTGTATGTACATACAAGAGAAATTTCACTAGTAGGTACTGGGGTATTTATGAGTAATGAACATTTCGTTATGCGACATTTCCCTTTTTGCTAAAACTATCACTTCTTCATACGAGAAAAAGAAACGTTTGCTCTAAATACACATCCATACAAGTGTAGGGGAAATAATTTTTCGTGATTTCATTGATAGCAAATGCTATACTTACCGGATAATGCATACTTACGCATATGTATTTATGTAAATACGCTAATATTTGCACATATAAATGTTAATAGTTTCCCATCATAGATATGCAAGTACATAATTACTACCATTATTTATGCTTACATATATGTATATATGTACATATGTATGTATATGGCAAATAAAATTAAATATGTGTATGTAAAATTTAATTATTGAATATAAATCGCCGAAGAAAAACAAATTTAAGTAAAAGTTCTTATTAAACCAATTTGCTACGAATAACTAAAGAAACTCTACACGGATAAATATGCAACACTGCGTTATTCAACTATTTATTGCATCGATTCCAAATGTTAACAGACCGAAAAGGCCAACTACATGTCTCACAGAGCCTCTCATCTCTTAACTAAAATATATTTTCCAATGGTCGCAGCTTTGTTAAAAACATTTTCCTACCGATAGCCTAAGTAATTGAAAATGTGTTTTTTGTGTACGCTCGCACATAATGCTCCAAATAAACGAAAACTGATGCTGATTTATATGAACATACGCACGTTTGCATCCCACATAGATTGATAACGCGAAAAGTGTGAGAAATTAAATAAAATTAAATGCATCAAAACCCCGCACAATGCAGACAACATACATATGTATGTATGTGTATGTAGTATGTTCCAATAAACAAACTCGGGCTAGGCTCCTGCTTCTAACCAGAGCAGAGCAAATTGAAAAATTTGTTGTTTGTTTGCATGGAATGCACATTGGTTGTGCCAGCAACGGAATTAAGCAAAAAAAAAATGCTGATTAGCGGAAAAGGGGCACTTGCCACCTGGTTAGTATTACATTGATATGGCGTTTACACTTTTGCTATATGATAGAACTTTGCAAAAAATAACTCTTCGAAACTATATTATGCATATTCACATAAGAACAAGGTTAAAAATAAAAATCCTGAGAAATAATGACTGATGTGACTAACAAAAAAGAAAAAAACATTTCTCAGCGATTCCTAACACCAAAATGCATGCCCTACAGAAGACAGTCCATATATGTTAATATAAAGCGGACGCAATAGCCAAGTGGTAGCATGCGGAGGAAGTCAAGGGTTCGAATCCAAGCCAAACTAATATACAAATTAAAAAGAAAACAAAAAAAAATTGCAGTCGCTATCGACAGGGAATATCAATCACTACGAGTATACCTCTGACTTACCGTTGGGAGGTCATTCAGAAAACAGCTATAGATCCCTATAAACATCACACATATGTACATATATTGGAGAAAGAGCTCGCCTGAAAATCGCTTGAGCGGTTATTGCAACAACACATTTCACATTTTGCCTCTACGCTTTTACGCTTGAGGGATTTCCATTAATACTCGCTCAAAATTCTCCGGGTTTTGCTAGAGAATCGTGCTAACATAAGCTATTAGTTTGCGTATTAGTACCATTGGAGTTGCAGTTGAAAATTTCGACTATGATTTTCATGCTCTCTTACCTTTGTCGATCACCTTTGCATATTAAAAGTATCACTGCGGTTGCTTCTTGAAATTTCTAACACATTTTTTTCCACAAATTGGATCACTTGTCGGGAATGTTCAGCTTCCCGAGTGTATTTCTGAAAACAAAATCTCATTATTAAAAATCATCAGCCTTTCGGAGAAGGCTTGGAATAAACTGTACGTAGGTCTCACCAACTGTTGTATAGATATCAAGACGCACACCACAAATCGGAGGAGGACCACAGTCTTTCCAACGGTTAAACAGCTTCTAACTCGAAATGAACTCAATTTTTGAATTTTTGGGTTCACAGACCCATCGTTATTTTTATACAACAGAGATGCTCAACAAACGCAACGATATGCCATTTCGCTAACAAGAAAAATGAACTCAACGAAATGACATCGTTTCGTTTCGGAGTAATGTTATCAAAAGGAAATGAAATCGTTAACATCGAAACCGAAATTTTCAAATGGCTGCATACGGCTTTTAAGATGATCTGTTAACGATTTACTGCTAACGGCATCCTTTCGTTTTGAATTAAAATGAAAAGGTTTTAATTTTGACAACTGGTTTAACGTTAATATTTCCAAATGTTTCAACTGAAACGAAAAAAAATTCGATTAACGTTCAATTTATCGTTACGCCGTAACCTTGTTATATCATACAATTATCAAAAATATACAAAAGAATGTAGAGCAAATTTTAATGAAATAAATTTGTTTTGATATTTCATATATTATTTCTCATTTACAACAACAAAACAAAGAAAAAAATATGTATTTTGCATTCGCTTGGCGCAGAATGAACGCTTTTATTTACAAACCGACTGGAGTCACTCTGCTATTCTTGGTTCGGCACTACATTCTGGATCAAAGTCGATCGCCATACAAATAATATTGGTTAGCGTAGTTCCTCATTTGTATGGGATTGAATCTAAATCATTCTATAGGAATCACGACAACTCGGTTACGTCTCTTGTTTTAATCGGAAATTTATCGAAATCAACTGATAGCTGCCAGAGCCACATATATTTTTATGTTGAGGAGATCTTTGATATTTCACAATTGCTTTTTGTTCTTTTCTTATAGTTTTTTTTACGGAGGAAAAGCATTATCTTCGCCAATTACTTAATATATGCATTTATGTTAAAACTAATGTAAAAAAAAAGTAATTTTTACACAAAAAATTTCACCATGCAAAATAAAAGTCTCGCCCCTCATTAAATCCGAAAATACACGACTCTGGCAAGAAATACACCGAAACTTCCGAAAGGAGTACATTAGTAGTGACAGCATCGACTGTTAACATAACATTTTCTGTTAAATTGCCGAAAGTGAGTTAACTCACGTTTATTCAACAACAAACACATGGCAATTACCGCATTTAAATTCGATGTTTAAATTCATTTAAGCTAAAAGGCATTTAACATCCCGTGGAAATAGGCTATAAAAGTGCTAAACACGTGATTCAATCATACTGAAAATGCCGTTTTCAGTTCCACTAAGTTTCCTCAATAATACGAAAAACTCACTCTGGCAACATCATTTGCCCGGCTGTTAGGGGAAAAAATTAAGAAGGAAAAATGCTCTATCCGCCTTAACAGCTGGTGAGGTACAAAAGAACGTAAACATCTGGAAACATACATACATACGTACGTACATACATAGCCGATTGTAGAGCGTTCGGTATTTCGTTTCGTTAAGCTCTTCGTGGTATTTTTCACATTTGCTTTAGTTTAGTTTCGGTCGTGGTTTGAATAAATTGTAAATTTAAATTGAGCTGCTTTAACTTTTTACAATAATAACATAATTTTTTATACATAATTTAAGTGTTTTAATTCAAAAATATTAATTTGTAGTGTGTTAAATGAAGGTTATGCGAAAATATGCTTCATATATAAATATGAAGGATCAACAGTGTAAATGAGGACATACATATGTACATATATACATACATACATACCTTAGCAAATGCATATTTGCCTGATTCAGCTTTTTCGTCGGTTTTAGTACATATATGTATGTATGCGTACTATATACACACATAAATACATACATACATACATACATATGTAGCAATCATTTAGGTGAGCAAAGAAATATACATATGTAAATGCATGAGCATTTAAGAAGTTGCGCGGTCGCAGATATAAGATATTCATGCCGTACATAAATACATACTTACAAACATACACACAACGAGCTAAGACGAAATAAAAAAAGAGCTAATATTGTTTCAAATGTGTTGCAGGAGTGGAAGAGTTCGTATTCGATATTTTAAGTGTTTGGTTACATACAAACATACATGCCAGTATGTACATCTGTATTTAATATACAAATATTGTGAAAATGGAATATTCAAATTTATGTACAAAATTTTGTGAGCAATAATATATTAATTCCTATGTATTTATGTACGTGCACACATTTTGCTATCTGGCTGAGTGTAAACAGCATATGCACTCTTGTTTCCTTGGCTTCGACAAAGTGAGCTATGAAATATTTTTATCTGAGCTTATCTTAGGTGAATATTGCGAAATATGCATGTTTGTACTTATGTCAAGAAGCAAGAAGCAAGCGAAAATATGCCTTCATTTTAGTTTTTAAGTGTGCTGAAAATAAGAAATTCGAGGCAACGGAATTTACATAAATTCATATAAAAGTGTAAATTCGAAACTAAAACTCTAATTAAAACCATTTTAAACAAAGAAAAACCTTAAAAAGTATATACATATATATATATGCATATATATCTATGTATGTATATCCTCAATCATCAACAGCAGACCGAGAAACACATATGTAAATGCCGCTGCCCTAAACTTATTTGTACATAGATGTACATACATACATACTTATGTATATGTATATTGACATTTTGTTATTTTGTGCTTGGGGGAAGAAACTACTAAGCAAAGTAAACAATTCGGCATTCCCTCTATGACTCTATGACTTTCGTGAAGTGGATTCTGAAATATAGTATAAGAGCACCGCGATCAAACACTTCTATTATGTTGCCATGTAAACAATGTTTGACAAAAGTATATTTAAGAAGCATACGTTCCTCTTTCTATTGTTTTGATTTCGATTTTCACATGCCTCTCTTGAGGTCAATTCATCACCAGCCAAATCATTCGCCATAGACAGAAATATGTGGTGAACACTTCGTGCGAGGTCCGGACTTTGAGTTGCTTGCATAAGAATCTCCCAACCAAGCTCTCGGAACTTCTAATCAGTCGATATATGTGGTTCCTTCGTTAGGCACAATCGCTCACAATACAAGTCCGAATTAAGTGTTTGGCCGTAGGGGTACAACCCATAGTGCATGATTTCTTACTAATCTCACTAAACACACAACGAACCTTTCTTGGCTGTCGCTCCTGGCTTGCAAATCGTTTGTGCCGGCTCACTACCCTTCAGCGTTGCTGCAAGTTATACACTTTTCTTTACCAGTTATCATAGGCTTCGGAAACGGATTGTTTTTGTTACGATTGATCAGCAATTCATGAAGTTTTTTCTCAGTAACTCGTGTGACACACTTATGCCGAACTTCATTTGTAAGCTGACTCATCAGAGATGTATTCATCAAAGATACTAAAATAAAATCTCAAATGGTTGCGATGTGACCAAGATAATGTATGGTATCAAAGAATGCCACTAGAGCTCATCGCGCTAAAAAGAAGGGTCTTCTTAAAGGGCAGGGATAGGCACGCAGAGGGGTTGGGCATACCATCAAATGACTTTTGCAGAAGGCACTGCCTTTGCGTATGCCTCTTACTATGAAGGAGAAGATTGAAGTCTCTAGGAGAGGATAATGCTCAGTTTTGCAAACGCCACACTTTACTTTGTCTAGCGGTGAGGAGAGGGTCATTATGATCTTAAGAGATATTACAATGGGCCCAACAATCACTTCACCCTAATCTAATCTGTTCATGCAAAGTTTTTCCAACACCTACCTTATGCTATATCCTTGTCCTTGCCTGGATACACCTATTGAGATGAGTCTCCCATGACCCCTCCCCTAGTTGGGGAATGATTTAGTGAACTCAGAAAGCTGAAGGGATTTCATATTTCGTAATAGTCTATTCGGCTCCTGCGTACAGTGTCCGAAAATTTAGACATCTCCACAGTCATCGACCATGGCGGCCGCGGTAGCCGAGTGGTTAGCATTGCGTACTGCCACTCGGAAGGCTCGGGTTCAAATCCTGGTTGTTGTACGAACATCCAAAAAAGTTATAAAAAACTAATTTAAATAAAAAATTAAGATAATTTTCCTAATTGCGGTCGTCCCTTGGCAGGAAAGGTTAACTCCTTCGAATGTATTTCTGACATGATATAAAGCTCCTCATAAAAAAAACATCAGCCGGAGGCGGCTTAGTATAAACATCAAGACGCAAAACCACAAATAGGAGCAGGAGCACAAGCGATTACAAAGCGCCAATTATATATTATATGGTTATCGACGGCATTTTCACCCGAGCCTATGTCTTGCTTGATCACTTTACATGCAGTTATTTGGCTACCTACTAAAATGAGGGCAGCCAAAAGCTATGTAGGAAAGAAACTATTGTTGTCGGAAAGCTAGATACCACAGGAAGTAACTCTTAGTTTCCTGTGCGGGAAGTTCCGTTAAAATACAATAGGATGAAGCTGAAGCCAGTTAACCTGAAAGAATGTCGACTCCTTGATCGGTCGCTCAGTTTCTGATATTAACTTCAAGACACACCTAACATAGTTGTCATAGATTCAGGAAAGATAATACCTTCAATATGGTTGCGAAATTGCGAGGCGAATGTCAGATGAAAGAGAGGAGCCGATAACTAGTACATTCTAGAACGATAAAACGAGAACCTTCAATAGCAAATAACTCGATTATTCTACATTTTTGTCTGCGAGCAGCCGACTGCTATATAAGTTCGACACTAAGCTGTCAAGTCAGTTACAAAGTGAACTCGTTGGCGTTAACATCAGTAAAGTAAACGCGTTGGGGATTACATTTAAATAGAGTAAATTGAGAAAGTTTATGCAAGTGATTGTAGCTAGTAAAGTGCGCTGTAATTGAATTGTGAATTACTGAGAAAATAAAGGACATTAGATAAATTCTTTGTAACGAAAGAAACTGCAAATTAAGTTGGCGAGTTTTATTTAACAATCCAGAGATCGTACCCGAAGGATTCAGAAAATCATCGAGGTTGATTCAGCAAAATCGTAACAATATGATAGATGCCTTCTATGTTGCAACTTTATTACATATTTGGTAATAAAAGTATAAGTTAATATCAATCTGGCAGCGCTTCAAACGTCAATCATTTGCAAATGTCATTTCTGTCAAGCGTTACTCCATATTGACATGAAATCCTTGTAATTAATTAAAAAAAGTTCGTGAAAATATAATTGATATTCCTCGTTAGAGTGAGATTAAGTATTGCTAGAAGATTTTGCGGCCGCACAAATGTATTTCAAATAAAAAAACGAAGAAATTTGACAACAAAGAAAAATTAAGTTAAAAAAAATAAATTTCGGTCGCAAATATTCGCATATATTTATTTTTTTTTTTTTTTTTTAAATTTTTCTTTTTTTAAATTTTTCTTTTTTTAAATTTTTATTTTTTCCTTTTTTAACACTTTGACTATCTTTTACTTTGAAAATATGGGTATACATTTTGAAAAAAATTTGATAAAAAGTAGCTCTCGTAGACATCATGAAAAAAATATATATAAAAAAACGAAAAATATGTGTTTGCGCGATAATAATTTATGCACGTATATAAACAATCGATCCTAAAATATTTTAGTGCAAAAATAATAATAATTTCCATTTTTTCGGCAATTTATTTCCGCGTGACGAGGCGGTAATGTTGGCCCTAGTAAATTAATAAAAAAATGTTTAGTGACTTCGTGTCCCATGGAATGCAAACACTCCGAAATTTTTCTGCTGTCAGCTGTTCGGACTGAAAATTCGAAAGTCCTACATTTATAGCAACGATTGGCAACAAGGCAAATTCACACAGTGTAGTAGTTTTTCGTTTGTGCAATTCGATGAAATGGAATGGTGAACAAGTAATCACATGATGTGACAACTTCATCTTCTGAAAATTCGCGTTGGTTTGGCACCTGAAACTCGACCAAAAATTACTCAAGCTAATATAAAGTGACAATTATATTATATAAATATTTACATACATAAATATATTGCAACATTAGATCACTGCAAGGCACATATTAATTTACATATGTACGTGTATGTATGTAGGTATGTGATGTGTTTAATAGTTCGAGAAATGTGCTCATTGCCATGTGTAAAAATTAGGGAGAAAATTTGTAGGTCATATTTTTTGTTAAACGGCTGCGGTAGCCAAGTGATTAGCATTGCGTACTGCCATTCTGATGACTCGGGTTCTAAACCTGATTTTCGTACTAGCATCCAAAAAAGTTATAGAAAATTAATTTAAATAAAAAAAATAAGTTAATTTTTCTAATTGCGGTCGTCCCTTGGCAGGAAAGGTTAACCCCTCCGAATGTATTTCTGACATGATATAAAGATCCTCATAAAAAAAAAACATAAGCCGTTCGGAGTTGGCTTAGTATAAACTGTAGGTCCCTCCATTTGTTGGAAAATCATCAATGCGCAAAACCACAAATTGAAGGAGGGGCTCGGCCGAAAATCAATTCAGCGGTTACAAAGCGCCAATTATATATGTATGTATGTATAATTTGCTATTTTATGGAAATCTCGCGCGGCATTTTTAATACAATAAATGACAATTGTCTAGATTTTAGTTCATAATACCTTAATCTAATATTTTTCGTTAATTAATGTGAAAAATCACTAAAATATTAATGTGACTTCCATTTTTTTTTGCAGTTAAATGAATTGGTCACTTTAGATATACGTTTTTTATATTAACTAAAAAAAAATAAAAATGGCTGATTTTGATATAAAATTTAAGGAAATGCAGAAATATCTGCCATTTCTACAAAATGTCATCGAAAAACTGCGAAGCAGCTCTGAACAAAATGATGATAATCCGCGCAAGGCGCAATTAAAAAAAATGGAGGTGCTGTACGATCTACTAAAGAGTAATGGAAAAAAGTACGTTGGAAAGTTTTACTACATAAGCAATAATAATAATGAAAATAATAATAATACATATAAGACATGCGCAGCATAGTCATTTTGTTGTAAGAATTAATGTAAATAAATGTGAATATTTTTTTTTTACTGTAAAAATGTTTCAGGTTAAAAATGGAGACGTTACTAAAATGTGAAGGATTATTAATTAAACTGCATAGCAAAATGGAGAGGGTAGGTTGAAAGTTTATATTTACTTATTTATCAATTCATTTATTTGCTTATATTAATTTATTTATTAACCCAAATGCGTTGTCACATTTCATTAGTTATATTGTTCACATTATTTTAATATTCCACTGTATAATATCTTATTTTTTATGTATAAGTCTCCTTATAATATTCGCCACGGCTGTTATATTTCACCATACCCGCTTTTCAATTTATAAATGCAACCCTTTGTTTATGTAACTTCGTTGACTACGATCATATTATTACCAATGACAGTTTAGGTTCAGTGCTAATTGCTAAGCACAATGTGGAACAAAAGTAAATTCAATGCAAAATACAAATAAAACGTAATAAGTGATGTGTGTTTAAAAATGTAAACAAATAAAATTACACTGTACTCTGTGACCAACAGATAATATCACTTAAAATATTTCATCGACGCACTGTGATGTCTACGCCATAAATGGTCGCTCTAGCAAATAAAACACACCAATGTAAAGCGTGTATTTTTTAGAGATGTGGTTTTCAAAAAGCAATAAAACACATATAATTTAATATCATGGCCAATAATTTAGCTTTTTGGCATTATGTTTTTAAAAATGATTTCGGTTAAGTGACCGCTGCGACTAGTTCGGACAAATTCCAACTGAGAAGACCGATTTTCGTCCAATTTTGTGAGCAATTGGAGTTGGTCTGCAATAACGCGTCATCCAAAGTGTTTATCATCTCGGGCTTATCTGCGTAGATGAACCACTTCATTTAACCCCAAAAAAAAATAGATCAGCGATGTATCATTGTACGATTTTGGAGGCCCACAACGCGAGATAAAGGTCGTTCACATCAAGATATCCCAATTTAAACAAGGCCCATCATGGCAGTGACTGTATTTTATTGAAGGAAATTTTTAGACGAACATATGCACGTCGTCGCTATACTCCATTCGCTGGCCTTAGGCTTCCAGCATTATTATGCTTACCGGAGTATCAATCAACTTTAGTTACACATTTACGATATAAGACTACCGTGAACAACCTAATATTCAGTAGTGGACAACCAAAGAATTTAGTATTTTGATTTAAGCTTTCCTTTAAATGTTTTGATTTTCACTTTATCAACGTATTTTTGTACATTTACACTTATGTACATATACACATATTATTTGCTAACTTTTTATTTATTTTTGTGCCATTTTATGTCATTTTCATTTCATATTTTTCGTCTCTGTTTAATCGCTTGTGTTCGGTTTGAAAAAAAAAAAAAATTATATGTACCCACACATGCATACATGCAAATTACACAAAAAAACTCGCATGTCAATGAGTAGATACCGTTTTTGCAGAGTGAAAATGATACTTCCAAACCAACAAATCAAACTTCCAACTTAAACAACACAACAAAAACAATGTCTAATAATGAAGTGCCAAGTAAAACGAAAGTAAATGAGACTAGTGTTGAAATCGTTGATATAACAGGACCAGAGAGTCCACCACCGCAACCGTTGGAGGAAGTGCCACCGGTAGAGATACCAATAGAGCGGCGTGGTTCACCTGTTGATGAAATTAAATCAAGAAATTCAGAACAACGTGATAAACACAAGCATAGTTCGAAACATGAACGACATCAACATCAACATCAACATCAATATAACCATCATCATCATCCTCATCCTCATCCTCATCAGAGTACGCAGCAGCAGCCGCATAATAAAATGCATTATGAACGCCATCAAAGTCAACACAATTCACGTGAACGACATCAACAACAAAATATAAATCAAAATAGACCAGGTGATAGAAGCAGAGATCAATCGCATGATTCTCTAAATGTTTTCATGATGCGTAATGTGAGCATGAGCAATACGAATGATGATAAGCAACCGGTTAATCGTGATCCACGCGCCTCTCAAGCAGACATTTACTCACCTGAAGAAAGTTGGGACGATATAGAAAGTAGTCAGCCGTCAAGCAGTAACTCAAATCGCGCAACGATTTCAGCTAGTCCTGCTTCGCCTCCTACTATTGAAGATCGCACTTTTCACGATACCATTTTCAATTTCAAGAAGAAATTGACGAAATCAAATGAAATGTTTTCACGTGTACGTACTCCTGCACAGCCTGCCACGCCTACCAACAGAGCTGCGCCGCCCATTTCCATACCTGTTAAAGTGCCTACAATACCGGATGTGTTGAAAAGTCCACCATTGTCGGCTAGTGATATCTCAGACTTATTAAATGATACTGACAGTGGTAAGAGCGTGCCAAGTATCTCAGAAATCGGTACCCGTCGTTCAGTAAAAAGCACAACCAATAATACGCCTGGCCCTATATCACCCGCAGAAGCAGCATCACTTGATAAAGCGCGCAAAAAGTTTGCGATTGTTACACAAAACTCTCCACAGCTACGAGGTAGTCCGGACACACTTAAATCACCCCTAACAAGCACGCCCAAAGATTTGCGTCCATCATCATCATCACCTTTACCTAATGAACGCATAGCTTTAAAATATAATCCGCACCCGCGTACGGAACGAAACGTAAAACCACACAATAGTAATAGTAATAACACACAACCTACACAAATTGCTGATCCACGCTTAAATTTAAACCGTCTGAATAGTATCACAAATAAACCCGCTGTGCCGAGCACGGTGCCACAAGATCCCAGATTGCGAAAAGTTACACCCACAACTGTTTCGCCAAGTTGGAATCAGCAACCGAAAACAGAGTTACAAAAGCCCGTTTCCACGACAGCATCTAAATCATCTGTGAAGACATCACATATACCTAGTTTATTAGAGGTTAAGGTGATAGATCCACGTACTTTGCAAAATGCCGGGTTTTCCAATACGCCAATGGTTTCGGCACAACAAATGCTAAACAAAATGCCAACAAATCAATCACAAGTGGGAATATTTTCGCGAAGAAACTATCCAGCGAAAGTAGCTGTACCCCCAGCCTATGGCGGTGTGCCAGCACCACCAGCACCACCACCACCTACAGTACAAAGAAGTAAAAGTGGGTACAGCAGTGAAGAAAACTGGGACTCCGAACCGGATGAGCCAGTGGCACCCAAAGTTATACAGCAAGCAGCTCAATCTTCCTTTGCCCGACCCTTTTTAGATACAGCTACAAGAAAAGATACTCCGTTAGAAACTAGTTTTCGACCTACAAAGCCTCCACTACTACCTACACCAAAATTTGGGCGTCCAAACAGTGGTATGGGTATACCACCAACGCATGTAAAGGCACCACATTTCCAACAAATGCCCAAAAGTGCACCTCAAAATCCCAATCACTGTAAATTTAGCGCCGTACTTAATGATAAAACCGAGCGTTCGAAATATTTCGAATCGAAAAAGCAGAAGAAGAGTGAGCCGCGTACATATATGGAATATAAGCAAGCTAAAGCGCGTGCTGCAGCAGAAGAGGCGGCTAGAAAAGCCGCCGAAGAGAAAGCTAAGGGTACAGCTGAAACTAGTAAGGATATTGGTGAAGTGAGTGACGTGGATAATTCTGTATTAGCTAAGCTCGCAGAACACCCGCCGGTAACTTCGACATTAGATAAATTATATCGAAGCACCGACTTTAGTGGCTGTGAATTCCCCAAAGCTAAAACAAGTTTTAAAATACCAAGAAAAGTTACTGAAAAAGCGGTTGAGGAAAACGAGCCCGCGCCAAAGGCTGTTACCGCTGATGATGTTGAGAAAACAGAAAATGCTAAAGTAAACAAAAATGAGGAACTACTTGAAGAGAAATCTCAAAAAGACCTTAAAAAGCCTGCAACCATGGATAAAAACAAAACGTTAGATAAACAATTGCCAAACGAAAATGAAAAGAAGAAGAACGATGATAAGGTGCAAGTACCAAAGAAAGCACAAGAGCTTACTACCGAGAAGAAAGAAACCACCAAATCAATTAACAAAGACAGTGCGAAAAAAGAATGTCAAGAAACAAACAACAAGAAAAGCTCCGACAATGAGAAGAAAAAGATCTTAAACAAAACACAAGCTGGCAATAAACGTAGCTTGCCGGTTAAAACAAAAGCAGGAAAAGAGCTCGAAACTGAGCACAAGCCAACACAGAATAAGCCTGCAACTGTCGCTTCAACCATTGACATGAATCCAACCCTGGATAGTGAAGCAAATTCAGCTCCCAGTACCGCGGCAGCAAGCGTTACAGTTGAGACTGAAAAAACGGCAGCAACTCCAGCTGGGGTTGAAGCCAAACCTGTAGTTGAAGCTCAAGCAGCCGTCGCTGCAGACGCAAAAGACAAAGCCTCTGTTGAGAGCGTAGTGCAAAAGTCGGTTACCATATGTGCGGGAGAAACAGACAATAATGAAGTAAAAGAGAGCGAGAAGGAAGCTACAACAAAGTCAGATTTTTTAAAGGAGTTGGCAAATATTGGTAAACCCGCGCGTATTTTAAAACGGCGTAATACCATGATGGTACGCGGTAGTTTACCGGAAATTGATAGAGAAAAAATCTTTCCAAAACAATCTTTGGTATACGAAGATATACAAGGCGCCAAAGAAGCGGAACGGCGTAAACAGCTCGATGCGCAATTGCCGAAAATGAATAAGTGTCTGGCAGAGATTTTTCAAAAAACCGATGATAACTGCAAGGTCTCTACGCAGAATATTATAACCGGTAAACGACGCACACGCACCAATGTAAACTTCAATGAAGTACAGCGCTCGCTGGAGATATTTCAACGCAAGCGCCGTAGTAAACCGTTAAAGCAGCCAGCGGAGAAACCGTCACCAAGTACAAGTAAAGCCACACCAAAGGGTAGAAAAGCAGCCGAAGGAAAGTTGGCGAAGAATGAGACAAGCAGTGATAATGTGAGTGAACAAGCTACAAGTGAAGTGGTTACAGAGCAAGTGCCTGTAGTGAAGATAGAAAAGGCAACAAAGCGCAAAAGAGGTAGGAAAATAAAGAGTGAACCAGGGGCGGAAGAAGTAGAGACCACCAAAGAAGCAATCGACAAAGATGAGGAAAATACTGCAACAGAAAAGAAAACTAACGATACAGACGCAACTGAACCAGCAAACGTGACAACAGCACCAACAGGCACAGCAGTAGCAGCCACAGCAGCAGTAAAGGAAAAATCGCCTAAGCCTGGCGCCAAAAGTGACGCCCTAACCGATGATGATGCGCAAAAGAGACAGCTGCTGGAGAGCTTTGTGCAGGATATACTCAATCCCAAAAAGGACAAAGCACAAATTTTCAGTCTACTATCGCTTATACTTAGTGAAGATAATCTGAAAATCGTAAAAGAGATAGTTGAAAATACAGTCGAAAAGAATGCTAAACAAACTGAAGAGACAAACGATGAAACGATTGAAAATGAAAGCGTCACATCGGCCAACGCTGACACAAGTAAAATGAACACATCCGATGAAAAGAGTGAAGGTGAAACATTGCCAAACGTCATCGCCACGACACCACGCACGGGCAGAGGCAAAAAGAAAAAGAATGAATTGGATCGTCTAAATGAGGACATACGCACCATGTTCATCAGTCAGGGTGTGTTAACGGCGACCGGCCGACGCATGTGTACGCTGGTTGCGGCAGCCGAACAAGCAAATAACACGAACACGAACAGTGGCAGTGACGCGCAACTCGTACAAACGGCGGCAGCGGAACCGGTTGAGGTGAAAACGACGCTGTCAAACGCAGAAGCGCAAAAGGCCACGCCAGCATTACTACCACGTATACGTAAATCAAAAGTCGTCCTGGAGCCAATAAATATACGAGAATTTCAAAAACCCTTCGAACCAAACGATGAAGCCTGTGATAGTGATGTAAATAATGATGAGGTTAAGTCTGAAATGTCACCAACACGTAAAATGCCAATACTCAAGCCGCATACACCCATAAAACAATCGGAAGTCGAAGATGACTCTATCGATGAATTAGCTGAGGCGAGTAAGCCAAAGAACATTAAATTAGACATCAAAGTGAAACGATCCAAACCTGGACCGAAATGTAGTAAAAAACATCAGATTGACACCGTATCATCAGACGATGATGCAGTTGATGATGAGCCAAATGTTGACCTAAAACCAACCACAAGCGTTGCCACTGTGAAAGAACCCGACGTATTGAAAAATACCAATAAAGAATGGCACTCACAGTCCAAGTGGGTTAGATGGTGTGTTTTGTGCGATAAGAAAATTTCTTCATCCACCCACTATGTACGTTACCATGGTGAATTCTATGCGTCACGCTTAACGCCGGACATATTGGAAAAACTGAAAGAGGGCAAAATATCCAAACCCTACTTTGGCGTGTTGCAAAAGAAAATGGTATATTGGTCATATCGTTGTCCATTTTGTCTACAACTTAATCGCACAACGCAGCCCAGCTGGGTGGAGCATTTAATTACGCACACTGGTGAATATAATTTTCAATGTAGTAATTGTCATCGTCCTAGTTCGAAGGGGCATCAACTTGAGAATCACATAAAAAAGGAATGTAATGGTGCGACTGCAGTGCGTAAGCATACGATACCAACTGGTCCGGTGTTGCGTGCACATGTTTGTCATCTCTGCGATTTCATACAGCTAACTAGACAAGGTATCGACATGCATCTCATGAAACAGCATGGTATTCCGAATTTGAAAGCCGCCAAACTGGGTTACACAATAGATCTCTTGGATACAAGAGATGTTGAGATGGTTGATTGCGTGAAAGCGTTAGAATGGGAAATGCGTATTAAGAATGAAGGTTTGGAAAGCATAGTCATGGCGAGCAATGAAAACACCGATTCCTCACTTGTAGATGTCACGAAGCAGGGCAACAACATTTCAACAACAGCCGGTGCCAACGATGAAAGCATGGACAGTGATGATTTGCCGATTGCAAAAACTGCTGTGCAATTGACGCCAAGTACGAAAGCTCAAAAAGCGGCTTTGGAGAAGGCATCAAATTCGAATATATTCGTGCCCACGCGTGACACGAACGATTCGCCTACTATGAATAACTTCGCGCAAAGCTTATTCACAAGTGAGCAACCAGAAATTGCAATCAGTAGCGCTGGTACGACAGGCAGCACTGGTGTCGTATCGATAGCCGAACGTTTGTGTCAAAAATTCAAGAATATACAAAAGAGCAAGAACAACATGCCGAGCGAGGTGCCAGCGATTGTAGAAAGCACTAAAGCCACAGCACCCCTTGTGGTTGAGCATGAAGTAGAAGCAGTTAAAACTGCATCAAATGAAATAAACCAAAACACAATGGGGGTTGTAGTTCCGGGAAGTGCCACAGTTACCGATTTATTGAATACATCAACAGAAACAGCACGCTTTACAAATGCTGATGATAGCACAAGCACAATGAGCTTGACGCAAGAATCGGCCACGTCTAAAACCGTGCGTGCACACACTAACTCATCCGCCGAGGATGATGACGACGATTGGGAAGATATCGAAGTTACAGAATCTGCGCCAGTCAAAGCAATCGCAGCCAATTCGACAGCCCCCAACAGCAATAACAAAAATAGTAAAACTAAAACTAAGAATGTATTGCATAAGCTAAATCGGCTTTATGCCACGAACAATAAGTTAAAGAAAAGTCTATCCATCACGATCGGTAACAGAAAGAAAGAGGAGAGAAAGGAATGTTCAGGTAATAAGAGGGTGTCTAAAGAAAAAGTTGATAAACCAGCTGTCGCTTCGTCAGCAACAACTGCATCAGTCTCTGCAACTGCCTCAGATACGGAGCCAACAGCAGTTACATCTGTTGTGAATATTCCACCTATAAACACAGTGGCACCTACAGCCACCGTTGATACTCTACCAACGGTCGCAGTTTCGGGTTTGATTGAAGCTCCACCCTTAGTCTTACTGCAACCGACCGCTACGACTTCTCCCGCAATCGCTGCTACATCACCAGCTCGATTCACAGTTGCATTGCCGGCAGCACTCACTGAGCCAGCACCCACCTCAGTTTCCGCACCAACATTAATTCCAACTGCAGATTTCGAGCAAGAGATAATGCCTTTGGCAGCTGCGCTTCCAGAATGTGTGGCACCAAATCTTGGTTTTCGACCGCTGATTACTAATCTCGATGATTTATTGCCCGATTCACCGTGCAATGATCCAATCGAGCTGGTGCCGGAGTTGACACCCATGGAATCGCTGCAAGATCTCTGTGATGTCTCATCCATACTCAATTCCGATTATATGTCGGACAATTGGGTGTCGAATATAACGCCCATTGATTTAAATAATGATAGCAGCCAACAGGCAAATATGCAAGAAGCTTTGGATTTTGTTAAAGAGCAACAAAGTGTACAAAATAGTATTGTTACCTCGAATAGTTCCACACTGGTCATACCATCGATTCAACGCCTACAAAACATCGGTTACTCCAAATCAGCGGATGATAACACATACAAATTTTATTGCCTCTCTAAGAATTGTACATTCCTCTATTCGAGTGAGGTTATCGGACTAGATACTCATTTTCGTATCGAACATGCGGAAAACACTTGGGATGGTTATTGTCACACTTGCAAAGCGAAGGTTGATGGCAAAGATGATATCGTGGAAACAAAGCTGCCACTATCCGCCGAACTGAATCATATGCGTTCAAAACATTTGGCCACAATAAGTGCCACTACTTTACCAGTTGTCGACGAGTTGAAACAACCCTCCAAATCGAACTCACCCGCACTGGACGAGGATAGACCACGCATTAAGATTAGACGCTTGACTGGTGATTGTTTGTCCAGCACTCCAACGCCAACTTCAGCCCAAAACACAAAGTCGGTGCCGATATTTGATGAAAATGCTCAGCTTGTCGGATTGGCACACGTAGAACCATGCACCGTACCAACGGTTGCAACTTCGTTCCTGAACAAGATATCAGCAAGTGTTGAGCAGCCGATTGAAAATAGACATTTCGAAAATATCGGCACGAAAGAGCCATTTACAACCGTACCAAACGCCGTCACCTCCACGCAAACATCAACAATAACAACGACTCCATGTCAATTACAAATAGCCAGTGTGGTTAGTTTACAAGACCAAAATAATCCGCAAGCAGTCACACCTGCTGTGCCCCTACCGGTAATCTCAAATGTGTGCAGCTTAAATGCTCGTTCCGTGTCATCGCCAATCAGTAATACCGGCGCACTTTGGGCCCAGCATATAGCCGAAGAGCGTGCGGAATTGGAATCTTCGGCAGCTGATTCTCTAGAGGTATCACGCATACTTTCCAATGCAAGTAAAACTGCAACGCCATTGCGAAGTAAAGACGTCCCTGCAACCAAAGCTAGTGTGAGTGAATCACCTGAACCAGAAGTTGTTGCCGAAACTGTAGCTATGGCACAAGCCACTTCTGGTAATTTCCTCATAACCCAAACAATGTCGGCACAATACGAAGAGGGTCGTCTAGGTTTCAATATATCGATTGCGAACAATCCAACAGCACGTTTAAGTCGTTCGGATTCGAGCAGCAGTGCGAGCACTTCATCCGCTGCATTGTCTACGGTGCCACAATTCAAATGCATGGCAAATGGTTGTAAATACCAGACGCGTCTGCCGGTAGCCATGGGCGATCATTTGCGCTTTCATGATCGTCAAAATTTCAGCGCACAACGTGAATATCTACGCTGCTCTTTGTGTTCATATCTAGCTAAGGATTTAGATGATCTCATGCAGCACACCGATAAAGAGCATGGACTACTGATGGGTAATGATCCGGATATAGATGCGATCAGGGACATACTACGTAGCACAGACAGCAATGGTAGTTCAGTCGGAAATAATGTTGGGGAAGAGACGGTTCTGTCATTTACGCCAGAAACATGGGAGACCGCTTTGAAGGAGCTCGTCACACCAACTGGTGTACCAGGTAAATATATTTTATACAATTTATACTTATAAAACTACGTAGCCAACGAGCTAACGCTCCCACAGCCGTTAATATTTTTTTCTTTGAGATTAAGAGCCAACCAAATAAATACTCCCTCTAGACTTATGTAGTTCCTCAATAGTGATGTGAGTCTCTTCCTCTTATTCTGCTTATAGAGCAGATACTTTAACGCAAGAGACCAGAAATATTTCTTCGAAATTATAATGACTGAGCCAATATGTGATTCGTACACTAATAAATGGCGAAAGCGAAGGAGAATCAATATGCCGCTTCTCTCTTTCTCTCTCAATTTTTATTGAAATGCGATAATGTGGAGCAAAGTGGACATACTCGTACATATATCCGATTCCAATTTTCATACATGCCTCCTTCAAATTATATGGTCTAATTCTTAACTCCGGGTTCTTTGTCGCTCCTGATTTTCTACAGACGTGCAATTTTCTCTAAGATTTCCGCACTTTGGGTTCACCGTCCAAGTAGTCGCAATCCTGTTGCTGCTTCAAATGAAACAAATAATTTTAAAACATTTCTATAGTCATTTCTTCTGGTTCCCCTACTCTCTTTAATTATCCCACACTTCTGATTTTCTAGTATAAGTTTACACAAATTTCATGCTTTCAGACGCAAAACTTTTCCGCTGTACCATTGAGGATTGCAAAACCAAATTAACCGAGGCCAGTTACTACTCACATGTTGTTTATCATTTATCCACACTTGGCCACACTAATGTTAACACCCATGTTTATAAGTGTCCCCATTGTAAGAGTAGCTTTAATAAGCCGCAAAAGATTAAGGCACATATAAAAACACATGGTATACATAAATATTTCTGTTATGTGTGTACGGTTACCACAGTTAATCTCGATCAAATGTACAAGCATTACGAGCAACATTGGCGTGGTAAAAAGTTGCGTAACACAGCGTTGCCAACTAAAGCAATAGATAAGAAAAACTGGAATTTCCATGTGGTGCACACAACTGTACTTACTAAATATGAAATCGATCAATTTCGTGAAAAATTAGTCGATAAATGGAAGAATAAAAAATCAAGTTTACGCACACATTTCAAACCGAGTGAAATCACACTATTGCCATTGACGCCAATTTTTGCGAAAGATTTAAATTGTGCCGTTTGTCCGTATAAAACAAAGGTACGCACAAATTTAATGCGTCATCTGCAAATGCACACCGATGATAATAATGGTGGCGGTATACAGCATGTAGCTAATGTCGATCCAATTAATCCAGTGCCATGTTTAAATTCAAGTGAGAAACATTTTGATAAAATGACCAATTTAGCTTCATCCTCATTGGTTGTGGCTAGTACTTCGGCAAATGCGACAAATACAGCAAATGGCGGTAGCAATACGAACGGTAAAGGTGGTAAATTACCATACGATTATGTGCCCGATACGAAACGTTATACATGTGGCGTCAACAATTGTCAATATCTAACAATATCGGATGACATATTTCGCCATCACTTGAATGCTCTACATAGCGATATATCATTTTACAATTGTCCACATTGCAAAGAGGAGATCTGTAAACGGAATTTGTCAATTGAGCGTGTACTAAATCATTTACGTTTTCATGGACCAAAATTGTATCAATGTGAAATGTGTGGATATTTACATTATATGAAAACCGTTGTCGAACGGCATACACGACAACACGATGTACAGCCGCCGCAAACAGTGAAGGTGACCGAGTACGATCGTACCAAAGACAATGCAGGTAAGTGAAATGTGTACGAAATATAATATCTAGCGCGGTTTCAATTTAAACATGTGTTTGAGTGGTATTTTTCTAAAAGGGAAGTGTTGCAAAATTATATGTACATACATATACATATATGTAAAAACGCATTGCACGCCACGTGTGTTAAAAATGGTAAATAAATAAAATGTATTGAAATTAAGTGTATAAAATTTGAAATAAGTGTGGTGAAATCAGCAAATATACATACATATATAGTGAACTGTATATTTGTAATGAAAATACATATGTATTATTATAATAAAAATAAAGTAAAAAATGAAGCGGAATAATATGAAATTAGAACTTAACAAATTATGATTTGTGAAAGTGAAAACCCAGAATTTACTTCAATTGATTAAAAATAACTTGTGGTAATATAACTTAAAGTTTTAATAACAAAATTATTTATTAGTTAATATTAAATAAACAAAAAAAATTACTTATTATAATTTTTTTCATGGTGAAAAAAATAATAAAAAATGATTAAAAGACAACCCAAAATGAAAAAGCACTAATCCTACTGCAAACTTAATTTTAAATTATATTAAAAGAAAATTCCACGCAGTTTACTAATTATCCCATATTATTATTATTTTTTTATACTTCTTCCGATTCGCATTACGTTCGACTCTTATGCGTATACATAGCAAAACAAATCGATAACATTACTGCACCCACATCGTCAGCTCAATCAATCGCTAAGCCAACGGATACACAAAAATTAAAAACTAAACAAAAATGGGCGTGCAATTTGTGCGGTCACAAAGCAATGACACAACAGCAAATAATTGCTCATGCATTATCACAACATTCCTGTAAAAATCAATATCAATGTATGCATTGCACATTCAATGCAGCACAATTAGTGCAAATAATGACGCATATTGATGAGAAGCATGCGGGTAAAAAGCGTGAAGCGCGTTATGTATATACGAAAATAGAAGGTGCAGATGATAGTAGTACGCCACTAAATGAAATTGATACGCGTCCGCTGTGGATGCGTGACGATCCAAAACGTATACGTCACATTCGTGGTATACTAATGGAGGATGAAGAGGAATCGGAACGTTATCGTAAACGTTTACGTTTAGATGATAATGATGATGGGGTGGAGGAAAATAGTGAAGGCGATGAGGTAGGTGTTTAAAGTGTTACTTTTAAGTAAACAAGTTGTGTTAGTTTTAAGTATAATATATGTATATAAAATATGGCAAATTGAACTGATACATTTACATGCATACTACTTATCAGATATTTAGTATTATAATAATATTTAGTAAGAATTAGCTACCATTGTAATATAAAATTTGAATTTATTTAAACAGAAGTAGTGTTTTAAGTAATTTTAAATTGCTTTTTATAATGTTTTTTTTTGTATAATAAAGCAAGCTTAGTAAATACAAATTGGTCTATTCCATTCAATTCTTAGAATATTAACGTTTTCGCAACAAAAAATAAAAATTATAATAATAATAGACTAACATTATCAAACGTACACTCGAAAATTTTGTTACGCTTCTACTTTCATTATAAGCAGCTCGAAGGCTTAACTTAAACGCGGCACAATGCCTGGTATATACACATGTAAAGCCGATTGTAGATAGGTCTTACGCGCCGCGTGACGTGGCAAATGGTTTTCAACGTCTAAGCAACCCCACGAAATTTCGCTCACAAGCAGCGCGTTTGTCATTTGCTGATTTTAATTTAAATTTTAAAGAATCACAATGGCAAACTTCAAAACAAGTACAAAAATACTTAATATGAATAGATTTTTTTCTTTTTTGCTTTTCTAGAAAAAATTAAAAAATTATAATTGTGTCAAAACAGGGCGAATTCATAAAGGTGAGACCAAGAGGATGAGCACAACAATTACCCAAGGCGAATTTATAAAAAGTGGTCAGTTGTCACATCATATGATGGCTTGTTTTACCTTCCATTTTACATTGAAAAATTTTCGGTTTTGACTTTTCGAAACTACAATTACATAAATAAAATACATAGGCTTTTTGTTTTAGTATACCTGCTACTACCGTGTGTAAATTTGCCTTGCACTTTCTGTGTATTTTGGTTTTTGGCTTTGCTGGCAAAGTTTGAAATGTCACGCAACGCAATAAAGTCCTAACTGCTAACGGCTTCAACTGAGTCTGTAAAACTAATGCGGAACCAGAGAGCCAGAGATCATTGATTTTTATGTCTTTTAACGCGCCGGAGAAAATTTTTTTTGTTACATTTTAACTTATTTTTAAATTATTAAGCGCTTTAGCCGAGTGCAACTTAAAAAAAATGTATTTGTTTAGCGCAAGATCAATACGAACTTACATTTATTAGCTCAGTTTCGGTAGCATATGACACCGCAGCTTCGAATAAGCGATCTCCACTATAGAATAAGTACACTGCATGTTGTTGTAAAGTTAACACTGCACCGAAGCACATCTTTTTTGATTCTTTTCAAGGTTCTCTTTTTTGCATGTTACTTACTCCTATTTGTCATAATACATATTTCCAACATTGATTAACATACCTACATACATACATACATATATACCTAAAGAAAACTAGATAGCAACCGTAAAACCTTTTTCTTCTTACCTTTCTAAGTATACCCCCTCTTAATTAACCTCAAACTTACTTGAAAATTTTCAGAATGTAAATTTAAATCTTTTCGGATTTTTATGCTACTATTGTAATGCACAATTCACAAGCCATGAGGAGCTGCGTGAACAACATTGGCAGTCCGGGGCTTGTACGAAATTTGATGTGAAAAAACCTTTTCGATTTCGTATTTGCACACAACTCAAATGTCCACAATGCCTCTCATTTGTAGGCAACAGTCTACAATTGCTAGCACATATGAAGGAGTTGCACAAATTCACAAGTTACATGACTGCAGACCCGAATGCAACCGCAGCTGGCTTAACCTGCGGTCACTGTGTATATCGCGGCCCAACATTGAGGCATCTAATGCAACATAGTAGCCGGGTGCATCACAAACCTTTAGATCTGAAGAGTATAACACTTCCACAGTTGGAAAAATTAAAATCACTCGGTGCGCCTTTATCTTATGTACAATGTCTCAGTTGTATGGAATTGTTTGCCAATCGTGCCTGCTTCTATGATCACGCGCAGCAGCGTACCAATGAGTGTACGACGAAAATGCAGGAGATAAGTAATAAACTAATATATGCCTGTTCCTTTTGTCCATACAAGTCGCAACAGGAAATGGCAGTGCTGCGACACATGATCGATCATTATAGCGGATTTAAACGTTGCTGCTTCTGCAAAGAGCCACAAACGACATTTAATGGTTACATGCAACACTGTTACTCAGATCATCGCGAACAGATTAAGAATTTCTGTTCAATCTATACAATTGTTGATATTAGTAAATTTCTACAACAGCTTTTGTTAATCTTTCCCAATGGCTTGACACTTGACTTGTACAACTTACGTTTGACACCGAGTTTAAGAGAGTATGGCAACAAGCATATCAAATTGCTTTATGATGAAATACAAAAGACGTCACAACAACCGCCAATACCGCGCCTATCACTCGGACGTTTGGTGGCGTTAAAATTTAATGAAGAAAAAATGTCTGCATCAAATGGCGTAGAGAACGCAATGACAACAACAACTGCAACAACGGCGTGCAAACAGGCCGCATCCGCTTCAACAGCAGCTGCTTTACAGCTAGCAGGCAATAGTGTCAAGCCACTGACACAAACATCTGCCCCGCAAAGAATTATGAAACGACGCATCACAATTGCAATGGGCAGAGATGATTCACCAATGGCACGTTTCTCCATGGATGCTGCCAGCAGTGACTTATTTAATGGGAAAAAGCGTAAAACATTGCGTCACAACTTTGACCAACTACCGCCGCCACCACCACGACTGGCTCCTCTTGGCATTAGTACAGCTACGCAAAATGTGAATGTTAATCCGCCTGCGCTGGTGGATAACATGACAGATAGTGAGCCCTTAAGTGTTAGCGACAATGAAGTAACGTCTGAACTGAAAGTGCCACCATTTAGCTATTATGGTCAAACGCCAGTGCCAATCGATTTGAGTAAAGTATTCATTAAGATTGCCGCCGGAGACGCGGTGGAGACGCGTGTCAATATATCTAAATTCAAGTTGCTTTACAACATAACGCCACGTGTGTTGGTGACGCCAACCGATATGACAAATTATCGTAAAACAGCCGCGGTGAAGAGGAAAACAATCAAGCCATGTCCGGCGAGTCATAAAATAAGGTACAGCTGAATGATATGAAATCTTATGCTATGGCAAGCAAATGAAAAATAAATCGATAACAATCGATAGATAGTGCGATTCTTATTTCGTGATATTTAAAAGCAGTCAACATTTTGACTATGCTGAATTATTAAAATAATTAACAAAAGTGCATAATTGAATTAGTAATCGTGTGCACGTGTATGTATTGCGAGGTTCACACATACACATATGAATAGTATAAAAAAAAGTATAGAACTGTTTCCAAAAAAAAGAATAAATACTCTAAGAAAGCTACTTTAGTAATTTATAATAAAAACGTTGAAATTCCTATTTTTTCATAATAATGCGCAAAAAAAAAGACTTAAATATTTGTATATACAGTAAAGGTACTAATTATTAGTACTTTGTAAAGGTACAGTCAAACTTAAGAAAGACATGAATGTAATTTGATTATATCTAAGAGTAAGGTCGTAATTATTCACACATTAATTTAATTACACAAAAATACGCACTTATTAAAAACACTTTGTTTTCTTATATAACTTTTTATAAGTCATTATATATAATTTGTGTTTGTAAGCGTTAATATGTAAAAATAAAATGTATTATTTAAAACACTCGTATTTATAACTATCCTGTTGCTGCTGTAGAATAAAAATGAATTTAATTTAAAAAAAAAGTAAATATTTATATCGTGAAGTTTTGTGCTACAATTTACAAAAATATACAATACCGAAGGTAAGTCAAATTCATTAAATTTATTTCCTTTTATGAAATTAAAATATACATACATATATATATGTAATATATTCTATAAGGTAATGTCTAACAATTGTAAGACGAAATATCTCTTGTTATCAAGCAAAAAGTCAGCGCATTAGCGTGTTAGCTCTCACGTCAGTGTTGACAGTCATAACTATGAATTCGGAGATTGTATGAAAGTACTACAACTCTGAAGTAGAGAGTTTCCTTTGGAAACATCAGTTGGAGAAGAACCTGGCTTCACTCGATGTAGTCATTTGGCACCGAACGGTGAGAAGTACATAATGACTGGCGTACTATTGTTGACTCGGCTATAATTGCGTTAACGGTGCCTAAAACACTTATAAAGATCCACTGACTGGTCTTCACTAAAACAAAAATCTAACGTGAAAGGCCCATACACAATTCCAATCGTTTAACTGGTACCTACGCTAATAAAGAAGAAGAGAAGTGGAAATGTCGACGAAATATTCTCACAAAAGTATCGGAATAGCTCCAAGTATGAGATCATTGCTTGTTGGCTAAGATAGACTATCAATGTCTGAGTGGCGATGAGAGCAAATGATCCCAAACCCTAAAAGAATAATAAGTCAGTAGAAAAAAGAAACTCTATCGCTATCCTACTGTCATGAGAAACTGCATTGCTCGTGGTTAATCAATGGTGCCCGAATTTTGGAAAGAATTTTTAGCACTTTTTGTTTCTACTCCAGCATATAAGTGAAGTTTCGGAAAGGACGGTATTGGTTAACTTCCAATGAAAGCTGGTTTGAAGAACGAGAGTTGATCTAAATTATTTCAGTCACAGGCTGTCGCGCCTTTATCAACCGCACAAAAGCTCACAGTGATTGTTTCAATGATTCGATCTATCTTTTGCCCATTTACGTACACATACACCTCCAGTAGATGTACCAAGCTGGAATCATCTTTAGATCTGTACGAATATTAAAGCCAGCGCGTATGTTTCACCTTAATGCCAGCGCGACCCATGCATCCATGCTTCTAGAATCATAATCCACCATAGAGCTTGATTCTGCGCATAAATAGATGAAGAGAGAAGAGCATATGAGGCAGCCGTCAATTCCTTGGCATTGCCGCCAGCGTCACTCGGTTTTCATCAGTGGAATGATTCAGCACATGAAACTAATAATGCAACAGTAGTATTCCCCTGTTGCACTACAATCTTATTACACTCGACAAGTAGAAAAACAGTTAAGACTGCGCTAATTGCATCAGATCCAGACTTCGCCACTGCTAGACTTGACTGGCTGGCATTAAAAAATGCTCATAACTGCCGCGGTTGAAGAGGTCCACATCGAATTGCCAAGAGTCGATGTTCTGGGGGTCGAAGAGGTCTACTTATCCAATAATCGATAATCCTTGGGTCAAATATCTTAACATAAATAAATCTTACATGGGCTTCTCGAGGAGTTACTTCCATTCCCCAACCACCGGAAAAAGTTCCTCTGATCTGATATAAATATAATAGGCACCTTGTAACCGCTAGAGCGATTATTCGGCTGAGCTCCTTCACCAATTTCTGGTTTTGCGTCTGGATGTTTTTCCAACAAAATAGAGGGACCTACAGTTTATACTCCGCTACCTCCGAACGGCTGATGGTTTTTTTATGAGGAGCCTTTATTTCATGTCAAAATTGCACTCGGAAAGAAAATAATTTCCTCTTTCCATTAGTTTGAGTTTTACTGCTTAACAAATTTATTTAAAAATTTTAATTTAATTAGAAATCACCTGGCAGCACCAAAAATGCATTTCTTCCACTAGCTTCAACAGTCAAAAATACAATGTTTCTCAAACACGATTGGCAACGCGGAACAGCTGTCATTGAATTATCATCGTTGTCAAAAAGGGAGCAGAAGTGAAGAAAGAATTAAATACGTGAGGGTGAAATATTTGTGCAGCAGAAAAAGTGGAGCGCACCAAGTAGAAGTTTATGCAGTTGTTTAATTTTCATAATTTTTTCAGTTAATTGTATTATTTTATATTCACTTTGAGTTTAAACATATTTATTGTTGCTATTGCTGCCAATTCTACGACCCAACGCTGCAATTGCCGCTAATTGGTGTTGTTACCACACAACGACAATTTATTTCGCCTATACAGCAATTAAAAGAAGACAGGTGATTGTATAAAATAGAAAATGTTTTATATTCAAGCTTTTCTATACTTATTGCGGCGTATTGGGAATGCAATGTAGCATATAAATACTAGTGCTAAATCTATTTTGTATTAATTTATGTTTGTATGTCTGCACTCAACTTTTTCAGATAGTGTTATTGAAATGCCTGATTAGCTGATAAGACAGTTAATTTTACTTTGCTTTTTATAAAAGTAATAAGCCGAACCCCCTTCAATGTTTTTCTGACGCAGATACAACATACATCCATACATACATACTTAAGTACTATCTTCATATGTATAACCATTTCTAAAATTGTATATTATGCAAAGACAAAAATAGCCAAATGGAAGAGATGAATAGCAATAACACAACAGCACGTCCCGTACCAATGTCGTCAGTAATCAACAATCATTTTCTGCACATATACATATATTGCATGTATTAACATATGAATCTACATATAACGCGCAATTTTTTACTTTCGCAGATAATTTTCGTAGCCCCATACAAAAGTGTACATATGTATATATATACTTATTTAGTTGCAGTAACATTGATATTTTTGCAAACATGTACTTAATTTTTATTTATTTCTTTACATTTTCGTACCACAACGTATGAAAAGAGAAGTCCCAAATGGGGTACAATTTTCAGGGTGGAGCTTCTTTTGGTACAATTTCGTTCAGATCGTCGGTTTTTGAGGAATCATTGTAGATTGAATTTTTTAAAATTATAGGCAAATGTACATACATACATACTTATTCAAGAAATTAAAATTGTTAAAATTTGAAAATGTTTTATTCATTGCGTACTTAACACTTTTTTCTTTTGTTTATTGCAGCTTTAAAAAAAAAAACAACTCAAGCAAAATGATAAAATTAAAAAATATATCGAATGTTATCAATAACACAGCTGTACGGTAAGTACATTCTTATCTAAAACAAACAGTGAATATTTTTGGTAAATAAATAAATTTATTTTCTTTTCTTTTTCATTCTTAATAGCTCCATAGCTACCTCAGCACCACTCAACGAAGCCGATTCATGGTTTTCCAAGTTGTTGGTGCGTAAAATTGAGCCAACTAAAGAATCGCACAGTCGAATGCTCAGTGATAAGGAAATCATTTATGCCTTGCATACGCACAATGTACGTCCCGGTTATATGGATGATTATTTAAAAAATTAGTGAGTATGCAATAAATATGCATACAAATTATATTGATTTTTATTAACTTGGCATGACTTTTTTTTGAAATTTTAGCAAAACCTCAGTACAGCTAGTGAATGACAAGAAAGCGAATTTGTCTTGCAATTTAGTTGCGTCATGGACCGTACATGTTGGTGATATGGATCAATGTTTGCATTTATGGAAATACACTGGCGGTTTTGAGAAGATTGATATTGCCAAGGAGGATTTATGGCATGATGAGGTTTGGTTAACTTTGAACTAAGCAATTATTTTATGTGAAAAAATTGTATCAATAATATTTTCATTTGTAGGAGTACATGAGCTTAATGAACGAACGTATAAAATTCTTACGTTCACGGCATTTGCAATATCTGTTGGCTTTCAGTTACTGGCCCAAAATCGAATTTCGTCCAGGCAAACATATCTATGAGATGCGGTAAGTTGGGTGATAAATATATATACATATGTAAAGTTTTTTTGCCAACACCATGATAATATATCATTTGTATATTTTTCCAGTTCATATCGCCTAAAACCCGGTACCATGATTGAATGGGGTAACAATTGGGCACGTGCCATTAACTTCCGTAAACATAACAACGAAGCTTTTGCCGGTTTCTTTTCACAAGTCGGCCGTCTTTATAATGTGCATCATATTTGGTGTATGTGAAGTGCAACTTTTTTATGTATATCTTGGTGATTAAAATTAACCGTTTTATCGTTTACCGTAGGCTACAAGTCTTTATTGGACCGCAAAGAGACACGTGAGGCCGCTTGGCGCTCACCCGGCTGGGACGAGTGTGTCGCCTATACCGTGCCATTGATCAAAGATATGCATACCCGTGTTTTAGCACCAACTGAATTCTCGCCTACACAGTAGGGCATAACGTAAACATATATAATATACATATTAATACAAATAGAGCAAGAAACACTTTTTAGTGCCTACAATTTATTTATTTTCTAAGCATTATTGTTTTATTTTCAAGCTAATCAAGGAAATTAAAGATGTAAACGCACAAAATGTGAAATGAAACCGCAATAATGCTTCCTTCCATACATTTTATGTACGTAGTATATTTGAGATTTTTCTTTATTTTCAAAATTATCATGCTACAAGCACTTAGCTAAGCTTAAAAGTTGTAAATTATTTGCTTATTAATAGTATGTCGCTTATTAAAGTTTAAATTTCTAAAACGATTCTCAATGTAATTGGTACGAATTTCATGCATAATTTGTTGCTAAGAAAAAAAAAATGAAACAAAATTGTTACTATAAAATCAAAAATTATGAAATTGTTACAAAAATTATAAAATCAAACACAATATTATAAAAAAATTTAAAACAGCTGTTTTTTTAAGGCTCATTATTATTTTCTTAGTTATTTTGCTTGCAAATTAACTTTTTGATTGCTTTAATTATAAAAAATTGCCTGCAACTGAAAGTTGCCCGTATACCAGGCGCACAAAAGAAACAGTAAGTTGTTAACAACAAATCCAAGAAAAACCTTTGCTGTTGTGCCGGTCGTAAAGTTTTTACTGTGTTTGTAAACAAAGTTTGGTACTGCACCCGTAGTTGGCAACGCAATTGCTTCCATATGTTTTCTGTTCGCTTGGTCCAATTGGGAAGTTTGCTTATTGGAATTTACGCTAAATATTTTTTTAACTTTTTTTTATCTTAATCGATTCAGCGCTTACACACATAACATATGAGAGCACTTATGTTAATACCATGGTGATCAGAGTAAAAAAAAACTTTATGGCATGTATTTGGTAGAAGAACCGCAAAACCAACGGCACAAACTTTTACCATTTCACAATAATCAGCAATAAATTTTTTTATAGCATAGTTGGCAACGTCCTCATATTGTTAATTTCATTTGTGTTGACGCACCAACAGCTGGTGCATTTCATTTCTGCACGTGTTTCACAACAAAAGATTTTTTGGAAAAATACGCATTAAATTTTGTAAAAATTAGTTATTAGTTAACTGCTAAAGCCACAACTTTCGTACTTCTATCGTTTTATTTTTTAGTTTCAATAAGAAATACACATAATGGAGTACATAGAGCCAAAAGCGCTACCTGCCAAAACCGCGATGATTCTGTGTTGCGAATGTGGTGTACCAATTGAACCGAATCCATCAAATATGTGTGTGACATGTCTGCGTAACCATGTGGACATTACCGAGGGTATCCCCAAACAGGCGGTGTTGCATTTTTGTCGTAATTGTGAACGTTACCTTCAACCACCCGGTGAATGGGTATCAGCAGCATTGGAATCGCGTGAATTATTGGCTTTATGTTTGAAAAAGTTGAAGGGCTTAAAGGAGGTGAAGTTAGTGGATGCCGGGTTCGTCTGGACCGAACCACATTCCAAACGTCTCAAAGTCAAATTGACAGTACATGGTGAAATTAGTGGAGGCACTGTTCTGCAACAAGTGTTTATAGTGGAATTCACAGTGCAAAATCAAATGTGTGATGATTGTCATCGCACCGAAGCGAAAGATTTCTGGCATTGTTTGGTGCAAGTGCGTCAACGCGCCGAAAACAAGAAGACATTCTACTACTTGGAACAGCTGATACTGAAACACAAGGCACATGAAAACACTTTGGGTATAAAACCATTACATGGCGGCTTAGATTTCTATTACGCCAATTTCAATCATGCCAAGAAAATGGTAGACTTCTTGCAATATATGGTGCCTATTAAGGTGACTACGTCCAAGCGGCTGATTTCGCACGATATTCATAGCAACAATTTTAATTACAAATATACTTGGTCTGTGGAAATTGCGCCACTATCGAAAGACAGCGCTGTTTGTTTATCGAAGAAGTTACGTCAACAATTGGGCAATCTTTCCCCTATTTGCTTAGTGTATAAAGTTGCAACGGGTATACATCTGATTGATCCAATGACTGCACAAATATCAGAATTATCCGGCCAAATGTTTTTCCGCAATCCTTTCGAGTCTTTATGTGATCCAAAGCAATTGGTTGAGTACGTTGTTATGGATATAGAACCTATCATGGATAAAGACAGAAAACATATACCAGGCACCGGTCACATCTCATTCCGTCATGTTTTATGTGATATTTGGGTAGTACGTTCGTCAGAGTTGGGTATCAACGAAAACACAATACATACACGATCACATCTTGGTCATTTGCTAAAAGTTGGTGATTCTGTGATGGGATATAATTTGGGTGAAGCGAATTTAAACAACACCGAATTTGAAAATTTGTCTTCAGATCAAATACCCGATGTAGTGCTGGTGCGTAAATGCTATGCAGACCGTCAAACACGTACCAATAGTCGTAATTGGAAATTGCGTCATTTGGCCGATGAAGCCACAGATGAGCGTAGTAAACATGATTTCCATGAGTTCCTCGAGGATTTGGAAGAGGATGTAGATTATCGCAAACAGATTAATATATATCGTGATGCAAAGAAAACACTGCCCGTAGATAGTAATGACACACAAGAGGCAAACAATAGTGTACCGCACATAACGCTGGCCGAAATGTTGGAAGATTTGGCATTGGATTGTGCAGATGACGCAATGGGCGATGATAATGATGATGAGGAAGGTGGTGCAGGTCAATAAATTACTGTTACATATATGTTTTTAATGGAATATTTGAAGATAATTTAATAAAAGGAATTATTTTGTGAAAACAAATAAATGCGTAAATGTATGAATACCTTTTTTTTTACTTTTTACATGCGCCTACATAAAAATGTAAACATATTTACACTACATTTGATACTTGTCCAGTAGTTGTTTAACAATTGGTAATATATGTTTGCGTGTTACTTTTACATTACACAATTTGTAAAAACTGCCGTTGAGGAAATCACATTTTTCGTGTTGTTGCAAACAAAGCGATGGTTCAGTATTTGTTAACAGTGTCTGTTGTATTGTGGCGCATAGTTCACCTGAACTCAGATTGATAAAACCGAGATCGCGTTCTACATTGCCATTGGTGATTAACATTCCCATTAAAATTACAATTGCAGAATTTGTCTCCTCTGAAAACTCTTTCACAGCACTCTCTGCATTTGGCCGCTCAATAAATTTTTGTACCAGCATTGGAAACCCAGGTATGGCGATGCTCAAATTATGAACCGTGTTTTTCAGTATTTTTAAGTCTTTTCGTAAAAGTTGTATTGCCGTCAGGCGACTTATATCGGCGCGTGCCGCTACTAGTTCATCAAATATCTGATTGCGTTCACTCAACGTCTTATCGCTATTTGAATTTGTCAGCAAATGCTCAAGTTTTTTAGAAATCTCTACATCTTTTGGTGTATAACGATTTGCAGATTCACTGAAGTTGACAGTGTCCAACACAATGGTACTCCGTAGCATTGTAAAGAGTATTTCGTACATCGCTAAAACATCAGGCGCTACCGTTGTTGATATATCCTCAAGTATTAGTTCCGCTATTAGAGTAGCACATGAACCAACTAGCTCTAAATGCACCTTACAATCGTTGGCTAATTGAGCTTTTTCATCAAAAGCGCGATGATCGAAAACTTCTAAACAACGCGCAGCAAAAGGACTTACATGATGGTCGACCAAAATGAATTCACTGCGAGCTAAAAACTCTTGCTGTAAGTCATCACGAAAGGTCAAATATTCGTTGCTGATAGATTGCTGGTCGAAAAGGTAATTAACTTCAGTTTTAAGCGTATAGTCTCGACGTGGTATATTCAGCACAGGTAGAAAGTTTCGTGTTTTCCGATTACTTAAGCTATTGGTTTGACCCCTTTGCTGTTGATAATGATAGGCAAGTGTTACTGCACAAACAGCGGAATCTAAATCGCAAGACTCATTGCCCAAAACAATGCAAACGGGCTCCTAAAATTAATAAAATGAACGCTTATTATGTATGTCAATAGATGCACTAAATATTATTCACATACAGCTGAGTTAATAAATTTTCTCGTTTGCTTCAAAAAGTTAAGCATTGTTGCTGGGCTCGATATTTTCCTCACTTTTCACAGAAAATGTAATCAATGAATATTAATTAAATTTCCTACGCAAATTTATTCAGGCAACTGTAAACAATGCACCGGTATCAAAAACAGCTGTTTACAAAAGGCAGAGCAGTCAAATATCTTTCAACGGCGGCAGCAATTTGAAAGAAACGCCGACGGAAAATAAAAAAGTTTTGTTTTTAATTTTTTTTTTAAAAAACTGATTATTAACTTTGAATATTATTAACATTAATTATTATAAACATTAATTACTTAAAGCGTTCTAATTAGCCACAGCGTTATTTGCAGGGGCGGGTGTAGGCGGTGGTATGAGTAAAGCAGGATCAGGTTTTGCACGTTTGGGCAGTGTTGCTGCACGTAGATATGGATTGTCTATATTTGGATTTTCCAAAATTGCCTTATTTGTAGTGGAATTAGGTTTGATATCATTTTCGGGCTTCATCTCTTTCTCACTTTTCGACTCTGCTTTCATCTCACCATCACCATCATCTTCATTACCACTTTCGTTTTCATCATTATCGTCTGCATAAAAATATATAAATCAATTTTCATACATAAAATAATGACAAAATTCAGATCTTCAGTATAAATTATACCCTTCGAAGTGACATCCTCAGTGCGATTGGCGACCAAATAATGATATTCCAATTCTTCGAAGTCAAACACTTGATCAGTTGGATTCAAAGCGGCGAGATAAGGCGGAAAAGCAGGCTTGCAGGCAATTACTGTAATAAGAAAATAAAAGAGTTTTTTGATATAACAAATTTAAAGTTTTTTCACTTACAAGGAAACATATTATCCTCATTATCGAATAGACTATGTGTCTCTGAAGTTTTGGAAAGAAATTTTGTTAATGCCTTCTCGACATCCCTTTTCTGGTTAGCCGCTTTTTCACGTATAGCTTCATATTCAGTTACAGGTTGTTTATGTGTCTAGAAGGTAAAAAATGTGTGAACAAATTCGACAAAGGATATTTACTTCATTTAGCTACCGGTGTGCGCACGTAGGCATGTGGATCGGGTAAAGCCGGCAAATAGTTGGGCACATGCGGCGGATGTGACGACTTCGTACCTGCTTGTAGCAGATTTAACTGTTTTTGTTGTGATGCTTGCGCCGGCATTGGTATTATTTGACGACCATCACGCTTGGCAAAAGCTTCTATACCTTGCATAGAGACGCCCATGTTTACCAGCGCAACAATAACATCTCCAATAACGGGTATGGTGCGACCGGAAAGCTCACAGTAACTACGTGCTGATTGCCCGACCTCGACAAGCACTAATTTTATTTGAAGATTTAGAATAAAAGACTTGAATCTCAATAAAATAAAAAATAGAACTTACTGCTCTGCAACATTTCTGTAAGAGTTTCCAGACATTCTTTGTCCACACTGTCAAAACCCTTTTCCATTAAAATTTGTGATACTGCTAGGTTTAATATTTTACGCCGCGGATTAGTGGAGTTTGTAGCATCAACTTTATCCATTTTTTACGTATAAATATATTTACTTCGATTTATAATTCAGTGTTTTTGTTTTCAAAAATATACCTATTCTTCTTCGTGCACAAGAAAGCTATTCAAAATGAAAATTTGTGTAGGGTTACCAGTTCATTTTTGTATTGCGATTTCGAGTCGTTTTCACGTGCTTAAAATTCGACTTGTGTTCTAACAAAGAACGTTTATGAATTTATATACGCTCTATGTTTCATTTAAAAGAAATTAGGTTTCACTTTTGCATAAACAGGGAAAAATGAAAGAAAAATCTGTCAAATAACGTAAATAACTTTAAAATGTAAGTAGGAGCTGGAAAACTGAACCGTGTCCATTTTCGGAAAAAAGAGAATTCGATATTGTTACGATTTTACTAAATCAACCTCGATTATTTTCTAGATCCTTCGGGTACGATCTCTGGATTGTTAAATAAAAACTCGCCAACTTAATTTGCAGTTTCTTTCGTTATAAAGATTCTATCTAATGTCCTTTATTTTCTCAGTAATTCACAATTCAATTATACTGCACTTTACTATTTATAATCACTAACATCAACTTTCACAATNTTTCTTGGATTTTTAGGTATATTTTGGGTATTTTATTACAAACAACGGCGTCTTTAATTGCGATTTCACTAAAATATTTTATTAAGAAACAATTCAATATTTAATTATATGAAGTTTTCATAATAAAATTACAATAATTTCTTTAATATTTACTGCTGAAGCAAATTTCATTTGAAACAAAAATAATGGATTTTTTATTGACATAGTGGCACTGGTGCGTTTTGCACATCAGATGTTGAATGTTCCCCGATCTGACACTGCTGCCAACATTAGAATGTGAGATGGGGGAACGCTCTCAGCTGCAATTTGAGTGATTTTGAGTAAGTTTCGTATCTAGTCATCTTTGTTAATATAGCAGTCGGCTGCTCGCAGACGAAAGCGTAGAAGCATCGAATTGTTCGCTATGGAAGGTTCTTGTTTTATCGTTTCTAGAACGTACTAGTTATCGGCTTCTCACTTTAATCTGACATTCGCCTCGCATTTTCGCAACAATATGTTTAGTTAGAAAAGAAAGAACTGTATAATATAAATTCAGTGAAATTAAACCATGTATATTTTATTTTTCTGGTACACTTCCTGGAAAAAATATAATAATTTTAGCTAAATCCAATCATTTATTGGACTTTTTCGCTGAGGTTAGTAGAAGGTCCACTTTCTAAACTATTCTCGAACCTATTTGAAATTACATTGAACATGTCACCATTAGCTTAAGTCTAACACAACTGTCTTAACACAACTTACTGGAGGTGTAGACGCACTGTTACAGATAACTTCACAATCATGTGGCAATACGAAAAAAGATAAAAGCAAGAAATTAAGAAAAAATCTTTTCAGCAGAGAACGTACGCTCTCTGGTATTTGGTAAGAAAACAAAGAAAATAATTTTAATAAATATTTACAAAATCAAATTGAAGTGTTAAAATTGTAAAATTAGTAAATCCTTCATTTTTAGTTTGTGAATTTTGAAGTTTTAAAAAGGTATTCGTTTCGGGATAACTACATACTCCATTGGCTTTGAACAGATAACAACCATTTAATACGCAAATACAAAGAAAACAAAATAGACAAAAAGGAAAAGTTCGTTTTTGGAATTTCATTACATACAAATATCTAGGCAAAGTAAATAAAATAATATTTATTTGAGTGTAAGTTGCTTCGCAATTAAAATGCAAAACGCTGATGCAGAAGCCTTGAACGCAGTTGAAAAGGAGCTCGACCGTGTTATATATAAGTTGAAGGATATACGTGAAAATGCAGCAGCCGAAATATCTGATGTTGCTACGCTTATGGAAGAATTGCAGAAAGTGTTGAACCAAGCCGAGTTGGAAATGACGGGCACCATAAATACGAGCACACAAGTCGATGCTCCATCCGATGTAGATGATCCAATGGCAGAAGAAGCTGATATGCAAGTAGAAATGGAACGTAAGTTGCTTATTTAATAGAAATATTCTTTAAATTGCTAATTCATTAAATATTATATATTAGCTGCAAAGCCACGATTGAATGAGCTGCAGGTCAAACATGTGTTGGAGACACTACAAAAAGCCAATGAAAGACTACAAAGATTATCGGCTGAACATCGTGACTTGCATGGCGCTGTCTCCAAAGTAGGCAAAGTAATAGATCGTAATTTCGTCTCAGACTTTACTGCCACCACACGTATTGATGCATTGCAAGATGAAGAGAATCTAATGTTATTAAATAAAGTTATGGCCAAACATTATTGCCGTCAGGGTATGGATGATGTAGCACGTTTATTGATCAAAGAATCGGGCATGCCGGAAGATATGGCGCAGGAAGTGTTTGACTCAGAGAGTAGCTTTGCCGAGATTTATCGCATTTGGAAGGGTATACAACAGCAAGAGTTGGGACCGGCATTGGAGTGGGCTGAACGCCATTCTGAACAATTAATTGCTAAAAACTCAACACTTGAATTCAAATTGCATCGTTTGGCATTTTTACAAATAATGTCGCGTGGTATTAGCGCACAATCGGAGGCTATTGCTTATGCCCGTCAAAATTTCGGCAAATTCATCGATCGTTTCGAACATGAAATACCAAATTTAATGGGCTGCTTCATTTATCTACCTATGGGTATTGATAATTCACCCTATAAGCATTTGATTTCGCCACAAGTCTGGATGGAGGCATCCTATGTGTTCATGAAGGATGCATGTCACACACTGGGCATAAGCAAGAACTCGGCACTCTCGGTAGTTATTAATGCGGGCTGCACAGCGCTGCCGGCTTTGCTCAATATTAAACAGGTGTGTGGTACTTGTTTTGTTGTTAATAAATTGTTTATATTGATTTTATTTTATTTCCTATAAATAGGTTATGCAATCCCGTCAAGTGTTGAGCATTTGGAATGCGCGCGATGAGTTGCCGATAGAGATCGATCTTGATCCAGAGTATCGTTATCATTCGATTTTCGCTTGCCCGATTTTACGCCAACAGACAACCGAGGATAATCCGCCTAAGAAGTTGACTTGTGGTCATGTTATCTCCAATGACGCTTTGCATAAGCTAAGTAATGGGCATATACTCAAGTGTCCCTATTGTCCTGTAGAACAGAATGCCGATGACGCTGTACGAATCTATTTTTAAGTACTATATATATATATATACAAGCACAAATTATATGCTTATTTAATTGAAATGCATTAAATAGAAATCGTATTAGTGTTAATTAAAGCTACGAAACTCTACTGAGTTTCGAAGTATGTGCGAAATGTAATGATTAGATATAGAGTATATTCTGGAAATTCATTGGAAACAAGTTCGTGAAAGCAAAGGACTTGAAATGTAGTCATTTAAGATTTTCTTTAATATCGTATATAAACGAATTATGTAGTTTTTTGGAATTAAAAATTACTTAAAAAATTTAATTTTCCGTTTGGTTTATTTAAGATTTTTTTAGCAACTTTTAAAAGAGAAAACTCCTATAACTTTCACAATTTTTTTAGGCTTTATCGTTTTTCATCGTTTATAAAGGAATCATGTAATATTAAAGTTTTTTGAAATTAAAAATAATTTAATAAAAATCTTGCTTGAATTGCCGTTAACTCTAGGTTTCTGTAACATGAAAAAATAATATATAATTTATTATATAAAGTTTATTTGAGGGTTTCATCGTTTTCCACCATTAAATACATAAATTTCTTTCAAACAACAAACACAGAAAAATATCACGCGTATGTGTTAACTCTATCTACGTAACTGAGTGAAATATTGGCATTTCCACTTCCGGCAATGCTGTGTCCTCATGATTGTGTATAAGCTTAAAGAGACCAGTACCGATCGATGCGGGCATGCCCAATATAATACGCTCTGAAACGCCGTCCACAGCATCAGTTTGTCCAAAGTAAGCGGCATCGAAGAGATGATCAGCAGTTTTTTCAAACTAAAAAAAAAAATATTTAATGGAAAAAATTATTCGCACATGTAGATTTCAGATTTCTTTTCAACTAATTTCCCCACTCACCGATGCCAAATTGAAGACGCTCTCACGCATTTTCGCCAAACCATGCCGTGTTATGCCCAATACCTCACCGCGCGATGTCATCTGACTGGCCAACAGCATGATATGTCGATGATCGACACTCATGCCGTGCCCCTCCATCACATCAGTGATTTCAGTCATAATAGTAGTACGTGCAGCCTCAATACCCAAGGTGTTGTAAACTTCCCAAATATTATTACTCTTTGTGTGTGCACCCACCACACCAAAAGTGGCCATTACATCGCGTAAACCAGCGCCTTCAATGCATAGTTTATAGGTGTGCGGCGTGTGTGCATCATCGATGGCGATGACAGCACGTGAAATATTCGGTAAGCCGGCCACAACAACATTCTGTATAGCTATCGTGAGACGTTGCAGCTCGGCGTTGAGTGTGGCGCCATGCTTCGAGGTATCAATGTGAACTGTTATTACAGAAGCACCGACCACGTCCACCAGCGCCGGTTTGATGCGCAATTTTGAGGTGCAAATACTAGAATGTGAAGAAAAATATGTATAAAAAAAAGAAGAAAAAAAGGAATTCCAAGTAAAATATGAATATACTTACGAGTAACGCACAGTTTCGGCATTGATTTCTAAGCCCAACACTTTTACGCGATTCAAATCTAAACGTATAACTAAAAAGCAGTCATCTGGCCTGAATACTTCCTCAATGTAAGAAGAAATCTGTGTAAAAGTGAGTGATATAGTATTCGAAAACATTTTTAGCTGCCATCCGCACTTACCTCGCCGAGCGTTGTCTTCTCAATACGCGCCTTTACTTTACGCGCGAACTCCATGCTGGTATTATTCTCAATTTCCGCGGTAATGATTGGTGTTGAAATTGTTTTTGTTGCATTTATGATTTCTACAATACGTGGTACACCCTATGATTTAAAAGAAAAAACAAAAAAAATAACATTTTTTTTGTGTTTTGTTTAAAATAGAGAACAAACTAATACCGTCGTTTCGAAAGGTACGAGATAAAAGTGGCAGAGTATAAACCCAAGTCCTATCAGATAGTTAAATTGTGAACTTAAGTTGGAAAAAAAATCAGATTCCGTTGAGGTTAAGAATATATATAGTGATAACGACGCCAGCTTATTTTAGTATCGCACAAGGACCTTAAGTTGTGCCGTTAAAAAATCTCAACAAACTCTTCAGCTTAAATCTCTACAAATACACACCTGTGTAATGTTCATCGAAGCGACACCAGCAAAATGGAAAGTTTTCAATGTCATCTGTGTACCAGGTTCACCAATACTTTGCGCAGCTACAGCGCCGACAGCAGTACCAGGCTCAGTTACGGCTCGGTTGTATTTGTCATTGACCCAACGCATAAAAGTGCGTATTTGATCTTCGGTGAGACGTTCGATTTCATTAGCGAGTTTCGGATGACGCCGATATTTCTCCTGTATATTGGCGATCTTTTGGGCGACTTTGTCGATGAATGTGCTGCAAGTGAAATGTAAATTAAACTCATATTATTTATTAGATATAAATATTCTTTACTTTACTTACATAATTTCCTTTTGAAAATCCTTGCGACTCATTGTAAACTCTTCTTCTGTAAGTATTTTTTTAGTTACGGTAGAAATATCAGCTGCCGCAAGCGGTGCGCTTTGACGATCTGGCACAGTTGCACGCAAATGATTTAATTGACGCACTAAATCGACGGGTTTATTTTTGACTTCCATGAAAACAGGATCTAGACCATCGCCGCCATAGATCAACTCGACTATTTCACCTATGGCATTGCGAACAGAGCCATCATAGTGCACGACCAGATCTTCCAGACACTAGCGGAACGCAAAAAAGAAAAGTAGTTAAAGAAGGAAGGATAATTCGAAAGCAAGTATTTATTATCATTAAATTAAATAAAAAATATGTCAACGCTGAAATTTACCTTCACTAAACGTCGCTGCAGATAACCAGTTTCTGCAGTCTTTACAGCGGTATCGACCAAACCCTCACGACCAGCCATTGTATGGAAGAAAAACTCAGTAGGCGTAAGACCCGAGTAAAAACTATTTTGAACGAAACCACGTGCTGCGGGTATAGCAGCTGCACAAAAAAAAAAAAGAAAAAAAAAACATGAGTGAATAAGAACATTTAAATATAAACAAATTATCAGTTTAACCACCAACTCACAGAATTTCTCGAAATGCGGCAGCGCACGATTCTCAAATCCATTAGGTACACGTTTGCCATTAATAGCCTGTTGACCGACACATGCAATCATCTGTGATATGTTAATATTCGAACCCTTTGAGCCGGACAAAGCCATTATTAATGCACTATTTGTGGGATGTAGCTCACGGAAGCAAGCTTTAGCTGCCTGTTCACGTATAGAGGAGAGTTCACGTAACATAACCGCCTCCAAGGTCTGTTCGGGCGTACAACCCGGTTGACATTGTAGGGTACCCTTTTTCATTTCCAAAATATATTCGTCACATTTTGCATAACCATTTTCCAATAATTTTTGTTTTTCCTCAAGCAACTTGTTGCTGGGCGTAACATCACTAATGCCGAAAGAAAAACCGCGGTTTTGTATGAAAAATGAAGCAATCTGAAAACGGAAATGTAAAAAGCATGAAGGTGATTCAAATTTTTATCATAATATTTGAATGACCAGAAAAGGCTCGTGGGCTATAGTTGTCTGGAACATATTTATTATAAATTAATTTTAATTTTTTAAGGTATGCACAAAATTACCAAATAATCTTTTATAAGTTTGAAAGCTTAGATCTATAGAGGAAAACACTTTATACCAAAGAATCCCGCCAAAAATTGCAAATTTAAATATCTAATGCGCCTTTAATATAATATGTACATATATCCGCCGTTATGTATCGCACACTAGCGTTGCCAACACTTTGTAAGAAATTTGAAATAACTGCGCCAATAATTGACATTTTTAATGCGTCTAAAAATAAAATTGAGCTGTTTAAATGCAATTAACCGGAAAATATTATATTTAATCTTTTTCAATTTTCTTCAATATTTTATTTTAATTTTTAAACCTTATCATTTCCTGGTTATACTAAAAGAGTAAATGAAAAAATACTAAATGACCGTTATAAAACATTTAGACGAGGAAATTTCTACCGAACTGAACTGAATAACTGACTGACAATAACACTAACGACCGGCAATAATTGATCGGACATAGTATGTACATATATATTGATATATTTGTATGTGTCGCTATAAAATTTTACAATTTGCTTTCCGGATTTGTACACAATTTCAATAAACAACCAACAGCTGTAATAGTAGATTTCATTCTTTTAAGTTTTTTTTTTTTAACAAGCAAGCACAATATATGTCGTAAACACTATAATTAAGAGACCGTCACAGCACCTGTTTGGCCGATAAGATATTAAATAACAATATTTGATGAATGAATTAAACAATTAAAAAGTACAAACTGTGCAAAAGAGATAGCAGGGAGCTGTGAGAAATGGCAAAAGAGAATTTAAAATTTTTTAAACACCTTAATATGATAAAAATTTACAAAAAAAAAAAAAAAAACATGCCTGTATATGTGTAGATAGTAGCATGTCTTAATCGTTTGGTAGTACAAAAGTATTGAATTGGTTTATAAAATAACGTAGTTGTCAATACGCCAGAACAGTTTGATGTTATTTTGCAAGGTGCTGGTAGTTTATTTCGGTTTGCGGTAGTTTCGATTGAAAGACCACAATACGATGAGATTTTATATACTAGCGTGCCTATGGCTTACAACATTATCAGCGGCGGCACAGAGGTTTATAGAACCGGCGAGTGATTTAGGGCGAATTGTGAGTTTAAAATGGTGGAAATATTATGAAAGCTAAGGAAATTTTAATTTAACAGAAAAAACTGAAAAATATATATATATGTATATATGTATGTATAATAATATTTTTATAAGAATTTTTAATAAAGGTATTCTAGGTTAATGGCGTGTTGAAAAAACATTAAGGCACATACCACAAATTTGCTTGGTTAAGTGTAAACGAAATATAAATAAATATAATAATAAAATCAAAAATTTAATAACAATTAAGGGACAAAGATGATTTTATAATTGTTCCAAGCGCTAATAAGCCATTTTACTAGAAAACAGCGCGAATTATATTCATGATTGTGTTAATACAACATTACATTTTATTATAATAGTATACATGTATATATTTGTTAACTGCATGAAGGATTAAAAATTTGGAATATTATTCGAGTAATATTGAGGCACAAGGGATAACTTTTCAAAGACAATTAACGTATGGTTGGCAACTCAGTCATGATCAGGCAGCGGTAGTTAAAATGGCACTTCCGATTGCATCATTATTGCACTAGCTCCGTTATTTTTAAAAGCATTTATGAACAAAAGGATTTGAAACCCTACATACATACATATGTACCAAATTTTTTCTACTAAATTTCCAATCTGGTTAAGTAAAGCAATTTCTATATAAATTTTCTGTTTTCTTCAACAGCAAAATCGTATAATTTCGGGTAGCCCTGCATCGCTAGGACAATTTCCATGGCAAGTGATATTAAAAAATGATGCCGAGGAAGATTTACTTTGTGGCGGCTCGATTATAGCAACAAATTGGGTACTGACCGCAGCACATTGTACTTATGGCAAAACTTCTGTATTTCTTATGTTCGGCACAGTAATATTTAATAATCCCAATGCACTGAATATGACTTCAACACAATTGTATATACATCCAAACTTTAATATCAAGACTTTGAACTATGATGTATCACTAATTCAACTACCAGCACCACTATCATTTACCACTTATATTCAACCAATACAGCTGGTTACGAATGAATATGCAAATGTCAGTTTTATTGGACGAGTGGCTATCATTGCTGGCTTTGGTTTAACCGATGATGATTACTTAGAATCCTCTGATGTATTATTATATGCATTTGCTGATATTATTAATAACAATCAGTGCGCGGATGTATTTGGTACGGATGTGGTTATAAGTTCTACATTATGTGCTAGAGGTGAAAATGGTAGTGACATGTCGATTTGTAGTGGTGATTCTGGTGGACCATTAATAACAAAAGATTTAAGTGGTACATGGATGCAAATTGGCATAAATTCATTTGTTGCGGAAGATATGTGCACTATGAAATACCCGTCGGGTTATGCACGCTTAACGTCATTCCTAGATTATATATCACAAGTCACGGGTATTGCTTTTAATGGATAATTGTTTGGATTGATTGCAATAAATTATGTTTACGATTATAAAATAGAAATTTTCCTTTTTCTTACTTGTGTTAACGAAACAAATATGAATTTGTTGTGCGGAAGCTTAATAGTGTTAAAGGTAAGTTTTTTTTAGGTATTATAATTATTAGCGAGAACAGTGCAGATCAGAAATATTATTCATATGTATGTATGCATGCACATTTATTTGCTATTTAATTGTTTCTCGGAAGCACTTGAAATATACGAAAGCAGATAAGATACGAAATAAATTGAACACCAATTAGCAGAGTTAAAGAAATACTTTCCTTACTTTTATAGTGATACTAAACTCTGAGAGAAAAAATGAGTTGAGGGGATTTATTGATATTCGATAATTCTGTTTTCTTTGATTGAAACAAATTGCGTTGCAAGAAAACAACGCTAATAAATACTTTTTCTCTGTTGTATGGTTTTTTTGTTGTAAAAAATTTAATTAAGTGGAACAGAGTATGTTATACAAACAGTGGATTATATGTGAAATTGAGTGAAAGACAAGAACATTTGATAATTTGACAAGCTTAATTATGATAACGTTTGGTTAAAGTTTTTCAAAAAATAAAAATTAAAATTAAATGGTTTACTAATGACAAAAGCAATTACTTTTTTGTGGGCGAAACAAAATAAAAATAAAAATATCTTTAACTACTTTCGTAGACAACGCTTTAGCTTCCAGATATTTAGATGTACATATATATATACATATATATATATATATATATATATATATATATATATATCTGTATATATATATATGTATGTATTTGAACGGCAAAGATTTAAGCAAACGTCTATTTTAAGCTAAAAAAATATATTGCCGTTAAAACGGTTTAAACACACTCACCCTTGCTAAACGCCACATGCATTTGGTAGCAAAGAGCTCACCAAAATCTCGCAATATAACATAGAAGATGCAATTTTTCGTGCCAGAGCCCAAAGTGCTCTTGTCCATTGAGCCACAAATTAGTTCCGAGTTGCGTACAATCACCCCTAGAATAGAACCATCAGAAAAATAAATACGAAATATTGTTTTATTTAAAGTCCCCACAGCAACTTACATGAATCGCGTACACACATGTCGTAATTACTGGTGTAATTGCGTCCTTTTGTTATTAAATTCGCCTTAACTGGACACGCCTTGTTCGGACGCAGCAACAGGCTGAAGATTTGTTTGCCTGTCCAAAGTTTACGTGGCTTCAATATAGCTGGAGGTGGCATATCGATACGCATATTAGCATCTGGCCCAGCTAGAAAGCAGGCTGCCAGTTGCATGGCCTGCTCCTTGGTAAGAAATTCGTCTTTTTGCGTTAACAGGTAAGCGCCTGTTATGAAATCTTGTGTCGCAGCAATGAGTATTTCGCCATTTTTAGGTGTAATCAAGTTGGATTTGTTGCCCATAAGAATAAGCGCCTCTGCCCGTGCCTCCTCCGTTTGTGGCAAATGTAAATTCATTTCATCACCATCGAAATCTGCATTGTATGGCGTGCAGGCGCATTCATTGAAACGGAATGTACGTTGCGGTTGCACTTTAGCTTGGTGACACATAATGGACATTTTGTGTAGAGAGGGTTGGCGATTGAAGAGCACTATATCACCATCGCATAAGTGACGCTCGACAATATCGCCACATTTTAGATCATGCGCTACTTTGTCACGATTACCGTAGGCGAGATACTTTTTAAATGTGGAACCACGTTGTTGTACATAATTTGCGCCAGGATGCTTTTGTGTACCGTTTTTAACAAGCTCTTTCATTTTTTGTATATTTGCTGGATTAACACGCTCTGGATAGGTAAGTATTTTAGCGACGCGTTCAGGTACACCCACTTGATGTATCATTAGATTAGGATCGGGTGATATTACAGTACGTCCGGAAAAGTCCACACGTTTGCCGGAGAGATTACCACGAAAACGACCTTGTTTGCCTTTTAAGCGCTGAACAATGCCACGTGTGGTTTTTTTCGGTGCCATATTAAGTGGTATACCGGAAATTTCGCTGTGAAAATACAAAGCCACGTGCAGTTGTAGAAAGTCCCAATCCTCTTGAATGAGTTCGATTTTGCCGCCGCCAGTCATATGTTTTTGTATAACATCATTGATAAGCAATATTTCACTCTGCTTCATGGTCAAGTCATCTTCAGTACTAAGAGCGTATTAAAATAAATTAGTTTTAATAAATAAAAATAATGCATATACTTACGTTCCAGCCTTTACTTCGGACAGTACAGAGGGTCGTATGCAGACGGGCGGTACAAATACGCGTGTTACTATTAAATTAACTGGACTAGCGTCTTCCGAGGTCATACCCAACAATGGTATATCGTTTTTGGGTATTGTTTTAAAAAGTTCCAATACTGTTAAGGGATTAAGTTCTTCTAAATTATTATTTGATGCAATCATATGCTGTAATTCACGATTATTTTCAGTAGCACGCAACAACTCTTTAAGCGCATCGGTTATTACAGCATCGGCTTTTTTGCCTTTGCAGGGATCATGTAGAATTTTCAGTAGACCTGGACCTTTCTTTACGCCACCGTTGGGTGCCTCGCATTGTGGACATTTTGACTGTTTCTTTGCTTTATTTAATATTTGACCATGTAAAGCTTTCTTCGCTAAATAGGATAAGTTTGGATTTAACAGCTTCTTTTCATATATGCGTTTATCTGCCTCCTTGAGCATAACGTGTGAACAACTTTTACAAATCATTTGTAAAATTGAAATAGTCGCACGAAAATGTCCAATGTGGAATACAGGCAATGCAAGATCCAAATAGCCAAAATGCCCGATACACTCATTTAGACCCTGACCGCATGTATCACAAGTGGCATCTTTGGTGCTGACGCCCTAGATGGTGAGGATTTTTTTTATCATCAGTTGCTTTTATGCAAATTCACGAATTCTTACCATGCGCTTGTCCAACACGCCATAAGGCACAGGTTGGCGTTGAGCTTGATATAGATTCTTTGAAACAATACGCAAATGTGACTCCTGTTGAATTTCCTCTGGACTGCTAATACAAAACTGCACATGGGAGCTGGAAAGTATAAGTTTTAATTTTAGACATTTTAAAAATTATTTCAAAAACGCTATTTACATTTTTTTAATCACATCTGCTTCACGAAACTGTTCTTTTGGCATCTTGTTGGATTCTTCTGTCACAGCACTTTTAATTCATCAAGGAAGAAAATTATTTTGAAATGCACACCAAATTAATGAAAAACACAGCATGCCGCTTTTAACTATTTTTTTTTTTGTTTCTTCGTTTATTACAGCTGTCAAAACATGCCGTAGTGTTGCCTACGCCCGCAAGGGGAATTTTGCGACCAAAAGAACAGCTGACCACTGATAACGTACAGTAGAACCTCGCTATATTATTTTCTCAATATATTATGAGTTTATAAGAAATTTTGTTATGTTGTGGCAGCATAGTTTTTTTTGGGTACTAACGGACATTTATAGTTCATTTTATTTCCTAAAGTAGACACATTAGAGAATGTATATTTTATATGTAAAATGATAAAAACAATTAATATTTTGATAAAATTATTTAAATAAAATTGTTGTAAACGTTATTAGGAATTATTATAGGTGATGTTTAAGTGTTCCGTGCAATCAATTAGCTCTTATCGGGAATTTCTATTGTAATAATAATTATTTTTTATTTAACTTTTTGCTTGAATCGCAATCTGCTTTCAAGTTTTTTTTTATTGGAAATGATCCCTTAATTATTCACATTTTCAACACAGAAGAAGAAGCACTTTTTTCGTTGAGCTTATCAACAATTCGTTTTTTTGACATTCGTGTGTTCATTGACATTCTTTTTGGTCGAGGTGTTACGCGATTTCGATTGCTCGAAGAAAATTAAATTTTAAATTAAAATTTACGAATTGTTACGATTTATAGCAGCGAAAAGATATGTTGCGTACACTCTCCAGATGCAGTGAATTGCCAGTTGTGGCCAAACAATTACAAAAAGTATGTAATCGTAGATTACTGGTGACGACGACAATTTCATGTGGCCGCCGTCAATGTCCCATTGGTGGCAGCATGTTGACCCTACTTCGGCGACAGCATGTAGCTCCTTTGGGTAGCTGCAGCTTACAACATCAGCCAGCAGCAACAGCGGCATTGGCAACTAAAACCAAAATCTCAACCAATTTTTATATGTGCAGGAATTATTCATCATTTTTCGGTTTATTCCAGAGTGCCGCCCAGTCTGGTGTACAAAAATCGAACAAATACGCAACGGAGGCGACCATAGAAGTGCATCGCGTGAGTAGTTACCCTCATACCACCCTTATACATATGTCGTGATAATAAGCTTACCACACGAGCTTCCGCACCCCACTACATTTATATGCTATTACATAACCACTTTAGACTGAACAATGATTGCCGCAGTTTTTTAGTAAGTGTAGTTGTAAGGAAAAGGGAAAGGCAGTGTCAGGTGCTTTAATGGCAATCATAAACAGGCGGGGAAAATTATTGTTAATTAACTAATTTATTCTTTTCTTTTGGAATAATGATATTTACATACATCTAACCAGCAGACTATCTTTGAAGGTCATTAAAGCAATCAGTTTTTAGGAACATACACACATGCATATATTTGCACGCATACACATATTTACCTAGGTTTGTATTAGACAGCCTTAATGACAATGACACGCTTTACTCACGACAATTTGCTCTCCTTATCGGGTGTTTTTTTATTCTTATATGCCGCGTGGTTCGCCATCGGCCGTTATCAGCGCAATTTATTAGTAGCAACTTAAAAGCGCGTACTGATTCGTAAATGATTTGAAGTAGCAGCAAGAATAAAATTAAAAAAATAGTTGTTTGTAACTGCTAATTTTGTTTTACCCGCAATTGAAGTTAACTAACAGCTGATCGTTATATAGTAGTTGTAAGTGGCTGCAAGTTTGTTTAATGTATGTATATACTTAAGTAGTTATCTTAAAAAATTTAATTTTAATGTCATTATGTAGCTATGTACCTACTATGTGTTATGTCAACAAACGGATAAAAGTTTATACATATTTATCTGTACATATGTGTGTATTTTTAATTTATGTTTAAAAATTAATAAACTTACTAACCCTTTTATAAATACATATGTATGCATGTTAACCAAATAGTTGATTGTAATTTTCAATACTTTTTTATGCAGCCATTCAAGTTGCATAGACTCGATAAGGGCCCCGAAACAAGCGTTACATTGACCAAAGAGGATGCAACCAAATATTATACCCAAATGCAGACTATTCGTCGCATTGAAACTGCCGCCGGTAATTTGTATAAGGAAAAAATCATACGTGGTTTCTGTCATTTATACTCCGGCCAAGAAGCGTGTGCTGTTGGTGAGTGAAAAATTGTTGAATACAATTTATGGTGATATTTTATATTACTTATATTATTATATTATTATTTAACTGTATTTTTCCAGGCATGAAAGCTGCCATGCGTGAACAAGACAACATCATTTCCGCTTATCGTGTGCACGGTTGGACATATTTGATGGGTGTCAAACCTGTTGGTGTACTTTCTGAATTGACCGGTCGTCAAGGTGGCTGTGCTTTGGGCAAAGGTGGTTCTATGCATATGTATGCACCAAACTTTTTTGGTGGCAATGGTATTGTAGGTGCACAGGTAATGTGAATTGCTTCCTAAATACATATAAATTATTTGCAAGTTAATTTTGATATATGTACATCCTTTTGCTACCAATAGGTACCACTTGGCACTGGTGTTGCACTTGCTTGCAAGTACAAGGGTAATGGTGGCGTTTGTTTATCCCTGTACGGTGATGGTGCTGCCAATCAAGGTCAAGTGTTTGAATCTTATAATATGGCTTCCTTATGGAAATTGCCGGCAATTTTCGTTTGCGAAAATAATAATTATGCTATGGGTACCAGTACTGAACGTGGCTCCAGCAATACAGATTATTATACACGCGGTGATGTTGTGCCCGGTATCTGGGTTGATGGTATGGATGTTTTGGCTGTGCGTAGTGCTACTGAATTTGCCATTGAATATGTGAATAAGGTTGGTCCCATTGTATTGGAAACCAATACCTACCGTTATTCTGGACACTCGATGTCCGATCCTGGCACAAGCTACCGTACACGTGAAGAAATCCAAGAGGTTCGTCAAAAGCGCGATCCCATCACCTCCTTCAAGGAATTGTGCATTGAGCAGGGTCTATTGTCTGCCGATGAAATCAAGGTGGGTGTGAGGAAACTGAAGTTGTTGCATGGTAATTTAAAAAAATCTTATTTTTTATTTCATAACAGGAAATCGATACTAAAGTGCGCAAAGAAGTCGATGAGGCTACACAAATCGCTAAAAACGATAAAGAACTGCCGGTCAGTGGTCTATGGACTGATGTATATTCAAATAATTTGGAAACTAAAATACGTGGTCTCTCCGGTTACAACATTACGCATATTTCACAACGCAAAGGTGTGAACCATTAAATCGCTTTAGCTATGTACATACACATATTGGGGTTAGCTAAAACAGAAATTCAACATTATAAAATGCATAAGAAAACATCCACCAACTGCTACTTGTGGCAAATAAGTTGAAAGTTTTAGCCGAATCGTTAGCGAAAATTACTTTTATTATTCTCAAAACACAAACGTAGGCAATTCACCACCATCGAAATGGTACATCCTTTAAAATAATAATAATAAACTATTGAAATCACCGTTTTTGTTGTACAGTGACTTAAAACTCGATATTATAGTAAGAATTATGTTTAAATTTTGAATAATTTATTTTGTCAAAGATCTTACAAACTGAAGTGAAGCATATTGTACATGAAGGCATAAGCTAAAATTATTAGTTCTATTAAATTACTTTTTCTTTTTTTTGTAAATACAAAAAACATCATTGTATATATTTTTTAATGCCCATTTGGGATTTCATGTTCGTGTATGAATAAAATAAACTTAAAAGTCACAATGCGCATTATTGGTTAAAACTGTTAAGAGCATTAAATAAATGAAAAATAAATAGAAGTAAAAGATATGTACAAAAACTGAAAGAGAAAGAAGTTTTTTCTTAATTTTTTTTTGTTTTTAAATTTTTATTATTTTAATTTTTTTAGTCTAAATTTTCCATTCTTTTTAGTTTTTTGTCAAACTTTTCTCAAGTTTTCTTAACTCTTTGTCGATAATTAATTGAATGTTTTCTTAATGTATTATGTATTATGTTTCAACACAAATTTTTAAAATTATATCAAATCTTCATATATTTTTTTTAACATTTTTTCATATAAGTTTATAAATAACTGTAAGAAATAGTTGAAAAGGTCATTAGTACTTCTTGGTTCTATTAACCTTAAAAAGGATCAAGCAGCGGGTTTGTATAAAGATATAGCAAGTATACGACGTCTGAAAATGTAGCGAATGCAATGTATAGGTTTTTGTCATCTCTAAGCGGGCCAGGAAGCTGTTTGCGTGGGTAGGCTATTATTAAGTAGAGGTTAAATAGAATGCAATCAGGAAACACACTCCATTTTCCTCTCGTTTCATTTAAGGCATACATTCCGCTATGCGTGAGACGGATCATCTTATAACGGCTTATCGTTGTCATGGTTGGTGCTATGTTATGGGCATTAAGCCGAGGGATAGAGAGTGAGTGTGAGAGATATATATATATATATATATATATATAGAGAGAGAGGGAGTGATAGAAGGGGGATGAGGGAGAGAGAAAGAGAGAGAGTGATAGAAGGGGGATGAGAGAGAGAGAGAGTGAGAGAGAGAGAGAGTGAGAGAGAGAGAGAGTGAGAGAGAGAGAGAGAGTGAGAGAGAGAGAGAGACAGAGAGTGTGAGAGAGAGAGAGAGAGAGAGAGAGTGAGAGAGAGTGAGAGAGGGGGGGGAGAGAGAGAGAGAGAGAGGGGGGAGGGGACAGGGAGACAGCGAGAGAAAAGGAGTATTCCAACCAAGTCGCACCATCCATTATATAGCCAGTTCCTTCATCTAACCCTAACAAATAGAAATAATTAATTTAAAAACAAAAATAAATTCAGTTTTCTGAAGGCATGGGTACAAAAATTAATCGATCCTCTTGTTCGATTGGATATTATGCGCGTGCTGTACCATTGCCTGGTATTTATGTTGGTGGTATGGATATACTTGCCATTGATTTCGTCCAGAAGGAGGGACCAATTATTATTGGAGCACATACTTATAGATTCTTCGGGCATTCAATGTCCGATCCGGGTACAAGTTATCGTACACTTGATTTTGATTTAGAAATATTTTTCCTCAGTTGTTTATTAAATACATATGTACATATTTCATTATCAATTTAGAAAATAGATGAAGATGCGCGGAAAGTAATTGATAAAGCCGCTGAGATGGCTAAAAAATCCAAAGAAGTTAAGCCAGATGAACTCTGGGCGTATGTATATATGGACGGCAAAGAGGAGAGTAGACGTGATGTCATTGGCAAAAGACAGAAACATTTCCGCGCTGGCAAAACAATGGGAAAAGATCACATCAAGTTGAAATCCTTTCAGCCGGACATCAAGTCAGAACCTAAAGGTATACCGTACGAAATCGAGGAATGGGAAGCACAGATGAAAGCGATAGAGGAAGTCGAGAAAGCCGATAAAGTAAAAGAAAAATCTAAAACGGATAACGTGTCCGAGCTGAAATGAGATTCAAATTAGCTTTTTACAAAATTGTTTGACTATTGAGGAAACGATTTATAAATTTAAATGATTTTATTTGTAATTATTTCAATAGAATGTGTATATTTTTATTTTAATAGGATTAATAAAAAAAATTGGTTTTTACATAAATATACATTTTACAATGTACATATTACGTACTTGCTTGCAGTAGATAATATAGAAACATAATAGTAAATTTTCTATGTAAATAATTTTTCTTGAATAAATGAATTTTGAAATTAAAAATACTTTGAATTAAGTGGCTTTCGATTCATTATATACGTACGCTCTAAATTGGCAGTGATGCACGTATGCTCTCTACGGTATTGAAAATAAAAGCGGTAAAGGACCACTCATTCCCGTTTGCTTCATTTGCTTCTGTACCATTTTCTGGAGAACTGTCTTCGTTCTGAAAAGGCGGCGTTGGTATTATGCGGTCGGCAGTTATAAATAAAGCGTTTTCATCTTCACACTCAAAATACTTTTTTGTAAATGGTACATCAGCTGCTTGTGGTGATGTTATGTCATCCTGGGGAAAAAATTAAACACCAAAAAACAAAAATATGTGTATATGTATATGCATATACTACGTCAAATATATGCAAACTTTTACGTTAATATTCTACTGACCATTAATTCCAAGCCAAAGAAATAACCAACTGGATGTATTTCTGGTACTGGACCAATATAACAAACTATACAATCATAACGTATGATATCGTCACGATCAAAGGAACGCCCTGGCACACTAATCACATCACCGGGCATTATATGGTTCAACCAATTGCAACGATCTGTGTCCTTTAGTAGCTGCAAACGACGATTTGGTTCTGGTATACTTACTATGAATGGCCATAAATTGTCGGAAACTGGTAGCAAACTTTCTGGCGCACATTCATAGATACGTGTTGTATTTGGTTCGCGTAAAACTGCGTCATAGACATACACCTGCGTGGCAGCCAAGGAAGTTTGTTGTTCGCCAGCAACTTTTACAAGTGTACCAGCGGCCACTGTAAAATTTTGTTTATCAGTTGTTTGATTTTCCAACTCGCAAGTTGGTGGTTTATACTGCAAACGCGTTGTTTGTGCTAGTATGGCATATTTTGTGGACATCTTGGAATGTTTTTAATAAATTATATTTTTGTTGTTCACGACAATAATATCTGAATTTGTTTAAAAATTCTGTATAATTGTTTTAATAACAACTTGTATATGTTTTTCTTGTGAAATCTCTTTTAAGTTGAGAAGGACGCAGATATTTTACAAATCGAGATATCGATAAGAATATACAACGATAAGCATTTTGACATTTAATGCAAAACAATTAAGCTGAGGCTGAGGCCACTGGTTTGACATTCGAAACTATTAAAAAAATTTAAACGTGTATAAATAATCTTGTTATGAAATAAAAGTACATAAAAGTTGCGAATAATTCAAACAGAGACTCGGCATTAGCTAATATTAATCGATATACAAATAGTAACAGCGCAATTGTGAACATCTCTAGGCAGACAGCTGATGGGACAACAATAGGAAAACGTAAACAATGAACATGTAAAGTACAAAACGAAAAAAAACGTATTACGACGTTGCCATATTTCATCATTTAACAACTTTGTGGAAGATTTTTTAATCTTGAGCCGGAAATGTTTTCTTAAATAGAGGAAATTCAAGTTTTAAGAACATAAATTAAAAAAAAAAAGTTTTAAGTTGTAATAATAAATGTGCATAAGACATCTTAAATATATAGAGGGTTATCAATAGCGAAATTTCGTAAAACAAAGCAATCAAAAGCATACGACACTATTTAATGCTTAGATATTTGAATATTATATTATATTTGCGCCAAGGGTTAGTTATTTAAATTGGTTTAAAAAATTAGCAGATTCAAAATGTGCCCCGCACTATTAATGCTTGTTGACCTATACATGTAGCAGAAAACTCCATAAAGCTTCTAATCACCTATTAAGTGGACTATTATGGGAGCAAGCGAATAAAGTGCCCAACAATACAGTAGTTATTGTCCACTAATGTGCTTTTTTCTTCCATATTTACTTAAGTAGATACGGACATTTGTGTAAATTTATTTATATATATATATATATACACATATAAATTAAGTAAACATATCTGTATAAAAAAACACATCTTCACAAGAAATCACCTTGCACACCAACGACATGCCGTCGATCAATCCACTCTCTCATAAGGTTCTTTCACGAGTGCCTCATTCGCTTCTTTGCTCTTCATAGCTATGTATTTTAGCTCGCTAACATTTCATTTGGATCGCGCTCGCTTTGAATGCTTTCCACGGATATTAGTTTAGTCTTTAACCGTTGCGTCAAGTATAACGTTCGATGAAAATATATTTAAAAAATAATTTTTAATTTCGAAAATATTTTTTTTGTGTCAATACATTTTGGTTATACTATATCCATGCATAAATATTACATACTCGTATGTATATAATTAGAAAATTTTTTGTGTGACGCGTGTCGCGCTCCTAATGCTTTTCAATAATGCGCGTCTGAATAATTGTTTGTTGAGTTGTTTGTTTCAATATTATTATGAATTGGCAATGAAAAAAGCGGCGCCAGCGCATTGTTGTTGTGGGTCATATTTGAAAGTTTAAAATTATTAATTTTGATGTACAAAATTTAGTTGTGTGCATCAAATGTTGCCGACTTAGTGAAGAATTTATTGACCGCAAAGTTTTTGGCGACAGCAGCCAATCATCAAGTGAGTGGGTGTTAAGTGCGTGTGTGTCCATTTGACAGTTATGTATATACTTTTTAATTTGATTTATATTTGAGGAATTATGGCAAATTAAAATAATAATTCCAAGTAATAATACTAATGTAATTAAAAAATTTAAAAATCAATATTTTTACACCGTCAAAATTTTTATAATTTCACAAAAAATAATAAATATATTAAATAAAATTTACCATCAAGAAAATAAACAAACCACGAAATGTTTCATCTTTGTTAAATATTTAGTGGTAAGTAAACATTTTGGAAATTTTTTGTATAATATACATATATGTACATATATACATAATTAGTATTCCATGCAGTCGAATTTTTTCCAGAAAAAAAATAAAAGCAATATTAAAAAAGTAAAATAAAATAAAATAAAATCAATAAAAAATAAGTTAAAAAGAAAATAAAATAAAATAGAATAAAATGAAATACAGTAAAATAAAACAAAACAAAATAGAATAAAAAATTAAATTAAATGAAACAACGTATCACAAAAAAAAAGATGAAATAAAATGAAAAAAAAATCAAATAACATAAAAAATTAAAGAAAAAATAAATAAACAAACTTAAAGTAATATAAAAAGAAAAGAGAATAAAATAAAATAAACATAAAGTAAAAAATAAAATTAAAAAAATAAATCAAGTAGACTCAAATGAAATAAAATAAACTAAATTAAAATATGTTGAAAAAAAATAAAACAAAATAAAATGAAAAAGTAAAAAAAATTGAATAATGTATCAAATTATAAAAAAAAAAATAAAGTAAGATGAAATAAAAAATAAAATAAAATACTATAACAAAATACAATAAAATAAAGTAGAATTAAATAAAATACAATAAAGTTGATAATTAAATGAAATAAAATAAAATAGAATTAAATAAAATAAAAAAAAATATAAAATAAAATAAAATAAAATTAAATTAAATAAAATAACATAAAAAATTATATGAAAAATAAATAGAAAAACTTAAAGTAAAAAAAAGCAAAACTAAATAAATGAAATCAAAAAAAGTAAAATAAAATATAAAATTAAATGAATTGAAACAAAGTATCACTAAATGAAATAATATAAAATAAAGTAAAATAAGATGAAATAATATAAAACAAAGTAGAATTAACTGAAATAAAATAAATTAAAATAACATAAGAAATAATAAATAAAAAAATAAGTTTAAAGTAATAAAAAAAGAAAAGAGAAGAAAATAAAATAACACAAAGTAAAAAAATTAAATAAAGTAAATTTAAATGAAATAAAACAAACTAAATTAGAATATGTTGGAAAAAATAATATAAAACAAAATGAAATAAAAAAGTAAAATATTTTGGAAAAATGCAACACAAAATAAAATAAAGAAAATAAAGTAAGATGAAAAAAAATAAAATAATATAATAAAATAGAATAAAATAAATTAAGATAAATTAGAATGAAATAAAATAAAAAAAAATTAAATAAAACAAAATGAAATAAAATAAAGTAAAATTAAATGAAATAAAATATAATAAATTAAAATAGCATAAAAAACGAATAGAAAAACATAAAGTAATAAAAAAAAGAGAATAAAACAAAAGAAATATCTTTCAAATTTTACACTTGATTTGTGTACTATAAATTTCGCCAGAGCGTAAGACTCTTGCATCAATAGTAGAAACATGCCCGAAAATTGGCACGCGTGAAAAATGCATTCACTTGACTTTAGCTAATGAATTTTCCACATAAATTTTAAGTAATTTCAATTGAGCAAAACAGCAATGAATTATGCATTAAAGAAGGCATTTTAAAATCATTTTCAAAAATTTTTTAAATTTTTGTACATTTGAAAATGGAATAATTTTGGCTTTTAAAATTCCTTCACAGTACATATTTATATGAATTTATGGTAGTTAGTAAATGCTTGGAGGAATATGAGAATATATATGTATATATGAGTTGATAAATCCTCTAATTTTGAAATTTATTTATTGTTTTCAAAAGCAATAAAAGTAAAGGCATATTTTTTAGCCCAAAAAAAAAAAAAGATAAAAATAATAATAAAAAGGCAAAAAAAAAAATTGGAAAATATGCACTATGTAAGTTTGAATATCTATTTGAATATACGCTTTTCAATTGCTTGCAATTGAGAAAAGCACAATCGATTTATTGCTAAAAAAAACACAAACACCAATTCAAAAGTTATAAAATATTGGAAAAACATGGCCTGTTTTTAAGTAGAAACACAGCTATTTGTATTTACGCCAAAATGCTGCGTTTGTTTGGTATAAGCCGATAAAAAAACTAAAATAATAATAAAAATAATTTTGTTAGAAATTATGGTTTAAATAGTTTTTGGCGACTTGCCATTCGATCTTACTGTTATTTTATAGTTCTAGCTGAAATAACTTTCCGATCATCCAAAGTAAATCGAGAATCAATACTCGATAACATTTATTTGAAATTATTGACATTTCATTTTATTTCTAGTGCACAGGTATTTTATTATCTCATTAATGTTTACAAAAAAGGAAGAAAAATAATTAATTTTATGTAAAGCAAAAGCAGCAGAAATCAACACAATTGCATACAAAAAGTAGTGAAAACAAATCACCACCCAATCACCTCCAAATTTTATGCAAATACTTACGCCGGAAACAATTTAACATGAAATTCATTGTCGTTTGGGCTTCTCAAACATTTCTTAAATTTATAGATACATACATGCATACACGTATGTATTCGAGAATGTTTGTGCTTATTTCTGTTGTGAATATGTGATGCTCTTTTCATACAAATGACCGACGGAGCCTAGAACTAGTGATTTGCAAGCGCTGAATTGAATGTCGGTCAAGCTCTTCCTTCAATTTATGGTGTGCGGAAAATTTTGTATCGGATTTGTGGTGGGAGATATATTCCACCGAAGAATAGAAGTTCACGCAAGTGAAAAAAGCTTTTAACTCCTGGGAGTGTCCTCTGGGTAGCCAACAAACATCCGTTTGGAGGCGAACTAAAGTGAGAAGGCGAATTCCCCTGTGGTTTTGTGTAGCGGTCGTGATCCACCGCATGAAATATGCATTCCAATGAAAAATAAATCATAGATTCGAATTGGGATACCCCCTTTTGACGACGATCCCAGGCCATATAAATGCCAAATTAGGCGTTAGATTTGTCGGCGAGTATTGGCTTTCACTTAGGTGGATGAACATCCAGCGACTATTCGCTTCAAAGCGAAATTTTTCAACATGTCGCTGAATTGTGTCCACGTTCCGATTGGTGAGAAGGATGATGTGATCAAGGATGCTTTTTATGAGCGCATCGAATGCATCATTAGGGTGAGTATAGAAGGCATCTTCGGCACATCTGCCGCCGGAATATTCAGCCTTCATAACGAACTGTCCCAAATAAGTTGCGCATCATCAAGACGTAAAACCACAAATTGGAGGAGGAGCTCAGCCGAAAATCGCCAATTATATATAAT